TTTGGAGGTGATGCCAGCCCACACGATGGGCTACCGCATGGGGTTGGGCCCGCTGCGGGGAAGGGTCGAGGCTAGGAGGGCAAGCCCACCTGCGCATCTTGAATGACATTCATTACAGTACACTGCGTCTGAAACCATGTCAAGATCGCTCTGCAAGCCAAGAGAGCGGCTATCCAAAGTGTATACACAGGCGAGGTCCGCAACATGATTCGGCGCAAATATCTCGATGCGTGTCCTCGTGATAAGAACCCCAGCTCCCATCATCTGCAGGATACCACACAAGCGCGTTCGATGGTCGAGCGTGTTTAGCGCAGACCTGGTTATCGGAATGATGATGATAGCGTTGGCCGAGACCCGTTGGAAAGATAACCTTGAGGAACACCAGTCCAGCACTCGCTGATTGAGGCGTACGCCGTGTCTTACCATGGCGTTGGCGTGTGCCCCAGTGATTGGAGTGGGTAGGAGGGTCTTCTTGCGTCAGACACTGCCCTTTGGTCTGATCTGCATCCCAGAGGCTCCACAGTGCATCCACAACACAACGTACAGGCAAAAATTGACAACGGTTCGCGGATGGAGTCAAGTCTGATTTTGCCCCTGTTGTGATTGCTGCTAGATCCCGGTAATTGCTTCTGCACATGTCCCAAGAGAGCGGAAACGTCGACCTCGGGGAAGACGATGGAGGTTGGGTTGTAAGGACAGAGGTGCTGCTTCGAGAACGCCACGCGAAGCCGAAAAGAGAGCCTCAACCGAGGAGGGGCGCATATTCGCCGCCGCTTATCATAGACTAGGTGGGCGGTCCAGCACGTTCATCTCCGTGATTGGCCCCGGCGCAGACTATCAATGCTGGGGAAAGATAAGAACCTGGTCGGGGTTGCAGAAGCGCGGTAGGTCGGCCGGTACTGGGAGAGGTTGACACGAGAGACAGGACCGTGAGCAGCGAGTAAGCGAGCACCAACATGAGACGGTAGATATTCCAGAAAGCGGAGACGACCGGGAGCCAATGGAGCCCTGTACTACTGTGCTCTGGCCATTGCGAAAGAGGAAGTTGCCAAGTGACCGTCCGGAGCCCGTTCAACTGTTTGTCTGGGCCTACGACGGTGCGATCCCTCCACTTTGGTGGTAGCGCGAGCCACGGTGCGAAAATATATTTCCCGTGAGGGCCGACTCATAGGTGAGAGCCAACAGTTCCTCATCGTTCAACTCTGTTCAGGAATTGCCCTCGTGCCTACTCGTCGCCATGGCCGATGTTCGAGAAATATACACAACGCCCGGTGCTGGTGTCGCCCACAACAACGACCCGGCGCTAGACATTGCTCACGAGCACGAGCATCCTCACGTGCACCACAGCGCGCGTGCAGCCCACCCCGACAACATTGTCTACACCACTGGAACCACGGACGAGAAGACCAGCAAGTTGTTCCAGCCCAGCGCTCTTGACAGCCACCTCCACCAGCGCCATTCTGCAGGTGACGTCGAGAAGGCGGGTGGTTATGACTATGAAGTCGAGAAGGCCACGCGCAGCTCTTCCGACCCTGAGATGGAGGCAGAGAAGAAGCCCTGGTGGACTTCCTTCTCTGCTTTTTACAGGAAATTCAGACTTCCTGTGCACATCTTCCTTGGAGCGCTCTTCACCGGGTAAGGCGCATTTTTGTGTCCATTGTCTCGAGTATTTCGGGCTGACAGTATTAGATGGTGGATTGCCAGTGTGGTCGTGCACCGTCACGACAAGAACTGGATCATTCCATTCTTGTTTTGGCTGGCCATTATGATCCGCCTGATTACTCTTCACATCCCCATTACCGTCGTCACCAAGCCTATGCACTGGGTCTGGGCCAACACTGGAACGAGATTTGCAAACCTCATTCCGGAGAAGCTGCGCATTCCTGCCGCTGCCGCTCTCACTATCGCCGTCATCATTGTTGGATCTTTCGCCAGTGAGGAGAGTGAGGACAACACGCGTGCCAACCGCGCTGTCTCGCTGTTCGGTCTCGTAGTCTTCATCTTCGGCTTCTGGGCGACTTCTCGCAACCGCAGCATGATTGTTTGGCACACCGTCATCGTCGGTATGCTGATGCAGTTTATCATTGCACTGTTCGTCCTCCGTACCAAGGCTGGATACGACATCTTCAACTTCATCTCCGAGCTCGCACGTCTGCTTTTGGGTTTCGCCAAGGATGGTGTTGCCTTCTTGACAACCCCCGATATTGCGGCCAACACCTACTTCATGTTCAGTGTTATCCCCGCCATTATCTTCTTCGTCTCGTTCGTCCAGCTCTTGTACTACTGGGGTATCCTTCAGTGGTTCATCGGTAAATTCGCTGTCTTCTTCTTTTGGGCCATGCGAGTGTCAGGTGCTGAGGCCGTTGTCGCTTCCGCGTCACCTTTTATCGGTCAGGGTGAATCCGCCATGTTGATCAAGCCCTTCGTTCCCCACCTTACCATGGCCGAAATGCACCAAGTCATGTGCTCTGGATTCGCTACTATCGCCGGTAGTGTTTTGGTTGCCTACATTGGTATGGGCCTCAACCCGCAAGCCCTGATCTCATCTTGCGTCATGAGTATTCCTGCATCGCTGGCTTTCAGTAAGCTTCGATACCCTGAGACTGAGGAGACTCTTACCGCTGGTCGCGTCGTTGTACCTGATGACGATGAGCACAAGGCTGCCAACGCCCTCCACGCCTTTGCAAACGGTGCCTGGCTCGGTCTCAAGATCGCTGGTATGATCGTCTCCACACTTTTGTGTATCATTGCCCTTCTCAACTTGGTCGACGGTCTGCTCACCTGGTGGGGACGCTACATCAACCTCGACGGCGACTACGACCTGACTCTTGAGTTGATCCTCGGTTACCTCTTGTACCCAGTTGCCTTCCTCCTGGGTGTATCGCGCCAGGGCAACGACTTGCTTCTTGTGGCTCGTCTCATTGGTGTCAAGGTCATTACCAACGAATTTGTTGCATTCCAATCGCTTGTCGACGACGACCCGGAGTCCCCTTACCACACCCTCAGCCCACGCTCGCGCCTCATCGCTACCTACGCTCTCTGCGGTTTCGGTAACATCGGTTCACTGGGTACCCAAATCGGTGTGCTCAGTCAGATTAGTCCCGGTCGCAGCGGTGATGTCTCGCGTCTTGCTTTATCGGCTCTCATCACTGGTGTCTTCTCCACCTTGTCAAGTGCTTCGGTTGCTGGACTTGTGGTCCTCGACGGATCCAACTTCAGTTCAGGCTCATAGATTTCGAGCTGAAGTCGTACGAATCAGTGCGTTGCTGAGGATCCGCTGTTTGGTGGTCCTAAAATATTATGTTAGTAAGCCGTTCGGTGTAGAAGATACCCATCTAGTAGTACATGGATCCTGATAAGGAATGAATATTTTCACTTCAAAAATTCCTCCGCAAAAACTATGATTGCTTTGAAAAACAGAAGTGCTACGAATGTTCTGTATCCAAAAGCACGGGGTATTGACACAATATGACCTGAATTCTTCGCCCTTTGACAAGAATGCTACCTTGGCATCGCCCTTTTACACACGACATGTTACCTCAATTTGGTTAGCGTGTCCAAAAGTGGTAGTCCCTTCAAGCCGCACAACATGTAATCTCGCTTCTTAATTCGTATCCGCTTGTACGAGATGATGCCATAGTATTGAAGATGTGGCCATGGAGCGGAGAACCACGTTTCCGTGTTTTATGCAAAATATTATTTCGCTCTTCTGTTGTCGTTGCGATATGGCAGCCATTGGTGAGTGTATGCCAATGAGTGTGACTGCTATTACGACGTTGATGTTCCCACAGTGTCGTTTGCGCCTACGAGAGAGCCTGCATTGGAACATATTGTGATTTTAGCAAAAATAAGACTGGATCATGACGGAAGGTGCGGTAAGCTGTGCTGGTATTCGCTCCTGCTTCGCCAAGCTTGAGAGAGCGCCTTCCTACCACGGACGCCCTGTCAGTGCGCTCAAGCAACCTGCATGTCATCGTCTCAATTGTTCACTTCAATCTGGAAATATCTCATGTGTTTTGCACTCAGCGTAGATGCCGCACTAGGGTTCAACGCTCATTACGCGCTACTAAAGATTTCGATGCACGATGCATTAGGGACCTGTCAACGACGAGGTTGCTCCGACTGTCCCCGGTCAAAATCCCCAACGCTATCAGATGCAATACCAACGCGATTTGGCATCTGGGGCTGCCAATCCCGCCAAAAAGATAAGAAGTGGTTGACATCCAATAACCGGTCACAGATGGCAGTTAAGCGACGACGCTAACATCGCCGTTGGAAGCTTGACAGAGAGCAACAATCGCTTTTTCCGCCCTCCAACGTCTTTCCGGCATCTTGTCATCGAGATGCTAAGGCTTGGCCTATGGCTTGTCGCAGGTCGTGACTGGTATACTGCAAGTATGCGAACATTTGCCTCCCTTGATGTCATAATCTGCTCGCAGCTCACGACGTTTGCGCTCTATCTATCGCGAACAGCTAGCTGCCCAATCCGGAGAATCACAAAGCCGTACGAATCTACCATTGGTCCCAGCTCGTGCTGAGTAAAAGGTGTCACACAAAAAATCGCATCTTATCTACATTGTTCCGCCGCGTTATCGGGCCATGCCGGGGTGCGAAGATCGTTTCCACTCAAGACATGCGCCCTGCTGTTGCTCAACCCCACGAAAGCCGCCTGAACCATGCAGAAAGTCTAATACAACGGCCGCGATCGCTGACAACGTCAATTTTTATCTGCTGTTATGCACACTAGCCTTATGGCTGGCTATGCTTGCCTTGTGCGACCGGCCGATGAACGGTAGTGTTCTGGCTTTATCTTCGTCGACGTCCTCATTTAAACGTTTTGTGCCGTCGGCCTCTGACTGAAGCTTTTTGCATTGACTTTGAAGCGGTGCTTGGTCGTGAGCTTAAATATATCTAAGCTTCTCGTACCTCCTCTGGTGTAACAGTCCATTCTTGCTGACTGCTACAACCTTCCACCTTCGGGTCTTTTGTGCTCGCCCAGCATGAGTACACCTCCGCCGCTGAGCCAAGGTTTTGGCTATGGCATTGTGATAGGTTTAGGTTTTGCCTTCTCGTAAGTGTCATGTCTCCTTTCAAAAGACCTTTGCTGAGTTGTCATAGGTTTGGCATGATCTTGACGACATTCGTGCTGAAGAGATACAACTATGAACTCCAAACTTCCGAAATGTTCTCAACCGCTGGTCGTACAGTGAAATCAGGACTTGTTGCCTCAGCCGTAGTCTCATCCTGGACATGGGCAGCTACACTCCTCCAGTCTAGCGCTGTTGCCTATCGATATGGTGTATCCGGCCCTTTCTGGTACGCCTCGGGGGCCACTGTTCAGATTATTCTGTTTGCTACGATCGCTATCGAACTAAAGCGAAGAGCTCCTAACGCGCATACGTTTCTCGAGGTTATCAGGGCTCGTTATGGTGCTGTAACACACATTGTTTTCATGGTCTTTGGCCTCTTCACCAACATTCTTGTTACCTCTATGTTGTTGACAGGTGGTTCTGCTGTTGTGACTTCTGTAAGTGAATTCCTAATGTGATTCCATTCTCAAACTAACATACGAAGCTTACTGGCATGCACACTGCTGCTGCCTGTTTCCTCCTACCCGTTGGTGTAGTGTTGTACACCATGTTCGGAGGCATCAAGGCTACCTTCTTGACTGACTATGGTATGTCTCCTCTACCCTGAGTTGTAGGAGAGGATCGCTAAGTTCTAATTCCAGCACACACCGTGGTCATTCTGATCATCCTCTTGATGTTTGCTTTCACAGCATATGCGACCAACGAGAATCTTGGGAGCCCTGGCAAAGTTTTCGACCTATTGGTACAAGCCGCATCCGATCATCCCGTTGAAGGAAATGCCGGTGGCTCTTATCTGACCATGCGCTCGAAGGAAGGTGCCATCTTCTTCGTGATCAACATCGTGGGTAACTTCGGTACTGTTTTTTGCGACAACGGTTACTACAACAAGGCCATTGCTGCCAGCCCTGTTGATGCGCTGCCCGGATATATCATGGGTGGTTTGTCCTGGTTCGCGATTCCGTGGCTAGCTGCTACCACCATGGGTCTCAGTGCCATTGCTCTTGAGAACAACCCAGTTTTCCCGGGTTACCCCAACCGCATGGCTGATGCTGATGTGACGGCTGGACTCGTGTTGCCTACAGCGGCTGTTGCATTGATGGGATCGGGAGGTGCCGCAGCGGTATTACTTCTCGTCTTCATGGCCGTGACATCAGCTATGTCTGCGGAACTTATTGCTGTGTCTTCGATCTTCACATATGATTTCTACCAGGTAACCATACTTCTACATTACACTGAGCTGGTCCACTGATACTCTCTAGACTTATATCAATCCCAAAGCTACCGGAAAGCAACTCATCTACATGTCACACACCATGGTTGTCGGCTTCGCTGTTGCGATGGCAGCATGGAGCACAGGATTATACTACATCGGCATTAGTATGGGGTATCTATACCTACTTATGGGCGTAATCATCTCGTCCGCCGTTCTTCCCGCCACCCTCACACTAATGTGGTCCAAAATGAATTGGGTGGCAGCAACCTTCACCCCACCCCTCGGTTTCGCCTGTTCTCTCGTCGCCTGGCTCGTAACCGCTCAGAAGGAAAGCGGAGAATTGACGGTCCTTACAACCGGTGCCAACAACCCCATGCTAGCAGGCAACGTCGTCGCCCTGCTTTCGCCCATCATCTTCATTCCCGTATTCACATATGCCTTTGGGCCCCAAAACTACGATTGGCAGAGTATGAAAGCCATTCGCAGAGGCGACGACCACGATCTCGCACTCGCCGCAAACGTCGACATAGAACGAATCCCTGGTGAGCAACGACGCGCCATCCAAGCCGAGGAGGAGGAACAGGCTAAGTTACTCAAAGCCTCGCGTATCGCGCGCTGGTTGACCCTCTTCATGGCGATCTCTTTCCTCGTACTGTGGCCTATGCCCATGTACGGATCTTCGTACATCTTCAGCAAGAAGTTCTTCACAGGCTGGGTTGTAGTCGGAATCCTGTGGATGTTTTGTTCGTGTTTCGCAGTCGGGTTGTATCCGCTTTGGGAGGGAAGGAAGACTAGTGTTCGGACTTTCAAGTCAATTTGGGCCGATGTCACGGGCAGGAAGAAGCCTGGGAAAGGGCCCCAGATTGTGGAGGGCGAAGGGTCGGATACGCCGCCTGAGGCCATGGAAGAGAAGATGGTGAAGGAGTAAACACAGGTAGAAAGACGTTGACGCAGTGTTGCAAGTCTCTCGGGAACGGTGAATACTGTAAAACAGCTCCGCAGTGTCGGTTGTTGCAGTGATAGTACCATAATTGCAAAAGATTTGAAGAAGTTCAAATATGTTTATGTTTTCATTTTATCCAAGATCAAACGCCTGCCCATGTTCCCAGGTGTAACACCTTTCCAAGCGCATCAAAGCGCAGCGATTAAACCATGACAAGAAACTCCCTCGAAGGACTATAGACCGAGTCCGTCTTTTCCTAATATTCGTAGATGTCATGAACTTCGTTGTCCATAGGACGCTCGAAAAGCTAGTTATAAAATTCTCAACGCCTTGCAATGCTTCCGAGACGCCTCGCTTGCTGAATGTGGACAAAAAAGCCATGATCAGACCCAGTTGTACGCTTGACAGATGTTCCGAGGGTAGATGTGGAGAAGCCTTCCCCGTGTGAAACGGGGGAGAGGATCGCGTCACATACCCAAACGAGATGTGATACTTACCAACTTACCGTTGCGCGTAGAGTCGGATGAATAACACCAGCTTCATTGCGCAAGCCGGTAGTTGTAATGTCCGTGCTAGACACTTATTATTTGAGCCTATTACTCCTTCTAAATTCACAATTCCGATGTGAACTCTGTGGTCGAATGTGGTGGTCTAACGAATAGTCATCTGCTTGGTGGCGCTGGGCTTCATGGAAGCAGAGCCAGCAGCGGCAACGGAAGGCTGGCCGGGCTTCTTCTCAAAGATCTTCCAGAACTTGAGGGACTCGTCGGCAGCAGCGGTGGCAAGCATCTGACCATCAGGGCTGAGGCAGCTGTGGAGGACACGAGATTCATGGGCAGGGATCTCAGTGTTCTTGACACCGGAGGGGTAGCTCCAGACACTCAAGCTATTGTCGGGGAAGCCACCAGTGCTGACGATCTCCTTGTAGTGGGTGCTCCAGCGCAAGCTGGTGACCTGGGAGTCGGTAGGAATGTGGTTGATGCGAGCACCAGTAGTTGTGTTCCAGAAGTAGATTTGACGGTCGTTGGAACCACCGCCGGTGGCAAGCAGGTTGGATTGCCATGGGCACCATGAGACCGCCTTGACAGCAGCACGGTGGTTGGTCTTGGTGAACTTGGGAGCAGCAAGCGCGCGAGCATCCCAGATGTTGACCATATTGTCATTGGCGCCAGTAGCGAGCTGGGCACCATCGGCGCGCCACTCAAGACCGCAGACCTCTCCAGTGTGGGAGACGAGCTCAGCAATCTTGTGTTGTGCGACACGAACGTCGTGGTTGTACACAAGACCAGAGCGGGCACCGGTGGAGAGGATGTGCTTGTTCCATCCCATAACACCAACGCGGGTCTCGTGGCCGAACATGCTACGAAGCTTGGTCTGCTCCTCAACATCCCAGATCTGAACCTCGCCCGTGCCGAGACCAACACCGACGTAGGCACCATCCCCAGACCATTTGACGGATGAGATGTAGGTGTCAGCAGGGCACTCAAGGAGAGACGCCACTGAGCCGGAGTCAGCAGACCAGACGTAGACTGAGCGCTCAAGACCGATGGCGACCTGGTTTCCGGAAGACCAGTCAAGAAGGTTGAGGTAGTAGTCATCGACAAGACCAGGAGCATCGAGGACGCGCTCAGGTGCTGATGGGATGCGACGACGGCTCTGTGCATTGGCGGCGCTAGTGGGCTTGAGGGGACGGTTGTATTGCGAGCGAAGGTCGATGGGCTTGGACGACTCAGGTGGGGCAGGCTTGAAAGCAAGAATGCGAGTGTTTGTGTTGATGCCACATGCCGAGGCGAGTGTGGACTGGTATGCAGCCTGGCCAGGAGCAGGCTTTGATTTTGATCGGCTCTCCTCGTCGTCGTCCTCGAGGCTCAGACCCTCCAAGGAGAGTGCAACGTCCTCCTCTGACCCACGGCCACCGAGATCGAAAGCACTGGCGGCGTTGGCAAGCACGGTTGAGCCCTCCTGCTTGGAGCTAGACTTGGGACGCTGTTCAACATCGAGCTTGGCGGCACCGACACTACGGATGCCCTCGCTTGCCGTCCGGTTGGGGATGAAACGGTCGGCAGCGTTGTAGGCAATGCGAGTCTTGGTAGGGCGAGCGCGAATAGCAGCCGCCGCCTCCTTCTTCTCCTTCTTTGCCTTGGCCGCGGCAGCAGTACCGGATCCAGTGAGAGCCCACTCTGATACACCGAGTTCTAACCGGCGGGGAGTGTGTGTGTGGGAGCGAGCAATGTTGGACTTGGGGGAGTCGCGGGTGGTCTTGGTGACGGAGCGCTGGATGCGAGACTTGAAGTCGTTGCCATGGATCGACTCGTGTGCCTGCACATCGGGAGTTTGAGTGCGTGGGGTGCGAGGGGAGGGTGTTAGTGGTATCCGACCGCCGGCGGTACGGGTGTTGAAGACTGCAGAGCGCTTCTTGACCGGAGTCACGCAGACTGCTGTGCTTGCCATGACTGCTAGTGTCTTGCTGGACTGGGTTAGTTGGGTTCTTAGTACGTGGACATTGGTTGAGGGCATACAGTATATGATTTGGTTTCTGCTATATGTCGTAAGGATTAGTATAAGACAATGCTATAATCGATGCTGTGAAGTATGGATTCGAAAGTAATTCAGTGGTCTGCACTCTGGAGATGGAGATGCAGGGTTGTGCGGCTGGTAGAGTGTGTGGCAGTGGACATGTACGAGGGCAGGTATAAGGACGTTTAAGTATCCTTTGTTTACGCTTGCGTTGACCAGGTAACCGAGACAGGACCCAGACAGGACCCTGCGCGAGGCTGGCTGGACGACGGAACACTGGCCTCATGACATCACATGATGGTGTCCGGTTTATGAATCAGCCTGCATAGTCGCCGTGCCTCCGCATGGCCTTGCTTTTGCGTGCAGCCCCGATGATGGCTTCATGGTGTCTCGTCGTGGCAGGCTGCGACGCATCAGCATAGTTGCACCTGGTCGCATACTCACTGCCACTGACGGCCCGACGAGGTTTTAGCAATCGTGCATTGAATCTAGGAAAACTTGGTGCTCAGTGGCCAACTCTCGGGTGGCTCGCTACTACTCCTGTGGCCGTGGCAGGGCTGAGTCGTCGTGGGTCGGCGCTTCCGGTTCGAGCTAGGGCGGTGACGGGCGGCAATATGCACGGCCAGCCAACTCAACTTCCTCCCGTCAAACATTCTCGCAGCCTAGACAAAGGCCATCCCTGCCCACTGGGGCTTCTACCACCAAACTAACCTCACCAACTTCACCGCGCACGATCCATGGCACAACCACCCGCTCGATCCGCTTTCCCGTCCAACATCCTCAACCCCGCCCTTACCTCGACACCCTCGCCCAGCCTCTCGCATACGAACACGCCCGGATCCGCCAGCTCCACCAACAACACGTTCCTCATGTCTGCGAGCCCCGTCCGAGGCCGTCGATCAGCCGTGGAAGGCTACAAGCCCAAGATGATTTCGACAATTGGCGCCAAGCCCGCCTGCCTCGTCAATGCCTCCGTGACATATGTTGGCGATGACCAGATATACGCCTTCGGAGGCTTCGACCAATACACCGACGAAGTATACAACCACGTGCTTCGTTTGAACCTCGTTACACGACAATGGAACCTGGTCGACAACTACGGCGACATTCCAGGCGTACGCATGGGTACGTGCTCACCGCTCCAGTTCCACACAGTACTTGTATCTTGACTGACACCCCATCCTAGGACACACTGCATGCCTTTGGCAAGGCAACAAGCTCCTCGTATTTGGTGGAGAAAACGAGCACCGCCAGCATCTTGCCGACGTTATTGTATTCGATCTCAAAACCGCCCATTGGACGCAGCCCGAGCTCCACGGGCCCATACCTCGCGGCCGTGCGCGCCACTCAGCTGTTATATACGATGACAAATTGTACATCAGCGGTGGCCAGACTGGGCATGATAGCGTGCTAGACGACATCTGCTACCTTGACCTGAAGACATGGACCTGGTCTCGGACATGGAAATTCGTCCCTCGTTACGACCACGCCAGCTGGATCTGGAACGGTCGCATCTGGATATTCGGTGGCATCAACGACGATATGGAGAAGAACAATGAGATCTGGTGGCTCGATCTCCGCGGTAGCCCAGAGTTTGACCATGCAATGAAATATGGGACGGGCGACCGGCAACTCATCTCATCCCGACATCGTTACCCTGTGCCGGCTTCTGGCCAGCTCGCGACCGGCAGTACAGGCTACACTGCAAATTCCAGCGTTCAGTCGTACCACGGAATGGGTTCAAGTCGGTCACCCTATGTTGCGCCTGGGTCCATTTCGTCTCTCAGATTCCATTCCAGTCCAAATCTACCATCACAGGCCGCGGGTACGCATTTCCACATCTTCTCATCTGGCTGCATGCTGGACTTTGTCACTCCGGCAGAGCTGAGTTGCGAGACGAGCTTGTCTAGTCTGGAGCTAGACACTTTACGATGGCAGAAGCTCGCCGACGGAAAGGATCTTTACAGCCCCAACTACCGCTGGCACTATTGCACCACCAATCCTGAAGGAACACATGCATGGCTTCTGGGCAGCCCAATTGAGTCGGCCAACGATGGGAACCATAATGGTGAGTATCTTAGCGACGTTCTCGCCATCGACCTCCGCAAGTACGGCATCCTGGGTAACGAGCTGGCCTCGGACACGCGCTCCAAGATGATGCCCTCCTCTGACGCCAATGTTTCTTCGCATCTCACCGGCATCGGTGCCGATCTGTCCCTGACGTTCGACCAACCACCAGAGAGTGGCAGCGGCGCAGACTTCATCATAACGGCGGATCCTGATGATGATGATTATGTGGATGTTGCAACACCAGATCCCAATGGCTCGTCAACGGCTGTGAGTCCAGTCTCGCGGCCGATACACGTCCATAAGCTCATTCTACATGCTCGTTGGCCTCATTTCGCCCGTCTATGGAGCGCCCAGATGGCTGAGTTCCATTCGAAGAAAATGCATATCCCTGAGCCATATTCGGCAGTTCGGGCGTTCCTGTTCTACCTTTACACCGACAGTATTGCGCCGAATCCGCAGAATGGACCTAGCCTGAACGATGTGGCCGGCATGCTTGTCATGTCAAACATCTACGACATGCCTCGTCTTCGCCTGCTCTGTGTAAACCGTTTAGGCCGGGAGCTCGACATCGAGCACGCTGCCACAATCTGGGAGCGTGCTGCTACTGCTGGAGAGGACTGGCTCAAGCAGCGAGCAGCGACGTTCTGTATGCAAAACTTCGGTAGAATCGTCCGCACAGCAGGCTACCGTAGTCTCAGTCCCGCAAGCTTGATTGAGCTTAGTTGTGAGGCTACCCCAGAAGCGCGTGTCGTCGGTGGGGAAGATCTGGATCTGCTCAGCCAGCTTACCGGCCGCTCCTTTGGTGGTAGTAACCGCAAGCGGAGCTTGGGTAGCGCGGGCGTTCTCACTGCTGGGGAAGATGATGGCGAGGACGAGGTGGAAGATGATGGTATGGATGTGAACTAATCTTCTCTGGCAACTTGATTTTCCTGTTCTGTATCGTACTTCACAAGCATATTGGCGCGGCGTTGGTCACTTGGAGGGTAATTCGGAGGCGTCTCCCGGTCGGATTTGATATATGCATTGCGTGGGCGCGCAGAGATTCTAGGGACGGTGTTTGAGTTCATGGTCCTTTTTTTGATGGCACGCACTCACGATAACATGATTGCATAAGTATTATACCGCTATATAGATACATCGAGTTCTACTTCCGCTACTTTGGCTCGGTCCACTAGCCATATCGAATTCTTCGTCCGCCTTTCTGCTCTAACATCTGGCAACCTACTGATATCCCCTTCCGTTCTGCGTAATAAATAGCATCCCGCCCATTGATCTTGGTACAATTATTCGCTTTGATGCTCTGCAGCGTTGGAAGCCTATCCGCCAGCATCTTGATGGACGCTCCTGTGATATTAGTATGAGACAAGTCGATCGTCTTGAGTCCCGTCTTATAGGTGAGAAGTGCCTCGATTTCATCGTCGTCGCATTGCATAGTGGATATATCCAAGGACTCAAGCGCTGGTGTGAGAATCCGCGGTGATTGACCTAATATCGAGTTTTGACTCAGCGGAGTAAACAATCGGCTGTTGTCATCGAGTAAGCCGTGTAGTGACAATGAATGAAGGGCTTTCTCCGACAAGCATTTATGCGTTTCGCCGTTTTGCATACAGCATTCTAGTAGAATATCTATTCCGTTCGCATTTGCATTGAGGCCGTCGAAGCCAGATATGGTCAAGTCTGTAAGCTCTGGGACACAGCACCGCTTCAAGCTCCCAAATTCTGTTAAATTCAAGTTCCCGTGGCTGCCATTGTTGTCAAGAACAAGTCGCTGTAGTGTTGGTGGCAGCAACGGGAAGCCTTGCAGGTCCACCCGTTTCAACACTAGACTCTTTAGCGGCGGCAGCTGTGTCACTTCTCTGGGCCACCCTTGTCCGAATTGAAAGCCTTCCATGTTGGAGAGTGACAAGTTTTCAAGGCATGGTGTACGGCTCAGCAATTTGGTGAGTCCGAAATGAGTCGCCATGATCTGATGACTCCAGTGTATGCTAAGTGTTCGGAGGTTTCCAAATGAGATTGCCCAGTTAGTGGCGGATCCCAAGCCACTTGACGAGCTTGCCACTCCCCTCGTTGAGTTGAGGACTAGGTGCTCCAGCGCAGGTCGAGCATGCATTATCTCCACAGCAGATACCCCGCGAATCTCCGGATGTATGATGAGCGTCTTTAGATTTGAAGCACCCTTGACAATATCGAGTAACATAGCTGGCATGGTATGTGGTAGAGAGATGAGCTCCATTTCTGAAAGGTCCTTGGCGGCCTTCGCAAGGTTCTTGATGACGTCCAAGTGTTCGAAGCGGTGCACAGTGACGCGTGTCATGCGGAACTCTGAGCGTTTGAAAGCGATATTGAGAAAGGAGCGGGGAACGGGTCTGCGAGCACCGGAAAGATCGAGGTGCATCCAAAGCTTGGGCAGCTTAGAGAGATAGTCCCGCCACCCTTTGCTGACGCGCATGCAATTGACCATGTGGCGGAAGGAACAATATTCCAGTACCATCTCCGCTAATTCAGCAGGCAAGACTGTCAATGGATCGATGGCTGATGCAGGTGATAGTTTGCGTGTTTGCTTGTCGTGGAGTTGTTGCAATAGCTAGTAGCAGTCAGTCACGTCACTGAAGTGAAAAGCGAACTGCATCCATTCTTTGATGGGAAAAGTAACAGGCCAATTGAGCTCTCCTTCAGGTTGGCAACGGAAGTACTGCCTCCAAACGAACCGGAAGACAGGACAAGATCACATCACATACCTTGAAGTTCTTATCGCTAACTGGCACATTCTTCATACCATACTTGTAGATCCCAAGGGCTGTCTCGGGCTTTTCCATCTTCTCTAGCACACTTGCAGTGCGCAAATATCCTTTGACGTCCTTCTTGTTCAACCTGATCATCTCTCGGCCGTCTTTGACAGCAGCATTAAAATTGCCTAGTTTATCGTACGTAGCAGCCCGATGATCATACAGTTCTGCGGTTGGGCAAGACTCGATGCCTTTTGAGAATGTTTCCAAGGCCTTTTCATACTGCTTGAGCTTATAGTAGCTGCGACCAATTTCCTGGTACTCTTCTGGTAGCATTGTGCGAGCCATGATGGTCAGAGAAATGTATCCCAAGTAGGCCGATGTTGGACCGTAAATGGCTATTCTGATCGCGCAAAGCGAAGTGAGCTTATAGCACAGCAATAGTCAAACCCAGGGTAAATTGTCTAGTTGCGCAGAGATCGTCCGGCAAGGCCGCGCATTCACGAAATTAATCGTTCTGAAAAAAAAAAGGAAATGGATGTTCTTCGGAAATTTGTAGGTCGTTTCTATCCGTGGGTCTTTCGTGTGGAAAAACGTGATGTACCAGTTGCGGTATCGAAACGCGTAAGTGATGTGCTGAAGTACTGGCGACGCGTCGTAGACCCATCGCGCTAAAATGGCCAGGGCGGCTTGTGCGCACTGACCTCATCTTCCGTTGAGCTTGCTAATGCAGGCACCAATATCGTCCGCATCAACAAACACCAAGGCCAACGATCTGCATCACCCGCGATAGTGTTGATGTCTTGTTCTCTTCGCAGAGTGATACGTGTTCGGCGGCGCTTGACGCTCGCTACCCATATGCTAGTCTCACATCGGCACCAGCAACTAAGCTTACTATGTGACCATACTTTACGTGTGACACCAGCAGCATGATGCTGAATTACTAACACGATACAGATTGATTATCTACAGGACCGAATGTCTTTCGTTAAAAGGTCGCCACTAATCCGCTGGCGATTTACGGACGTGTCTGAACTAGAACAACTTGCAATATTGAAAAGGAGAAGCAAAGTCGATGCTAGGAGGAAACTCGTGTCTAATTGAGCTACGACTAAACATACCGAAGCCTGAAAATACTCGCGGTACGTCATGCCAACATACGTTCGTGCTGAACCTACTGAATACCTTTAAGCCATATGATCACTTTGGTGCAACTGGTGAAAACGAGCTTCTTGTTACAGAAGTGCCGACTACCAAACGACAAAGGAAGCGTCTAGGCTTGCTCTTCGCCTGGGTCTGAAAAAGCATACCAAGCGTCTTAGATTTACAGACAAGAACCAGGAAGATTGTTTCTGCTGATATTGTGAAAGACGTGAAAGTCAGCTACGAGGAAAAGGACAAGGGCCGTTCCGTGGACGGAAGAGGGACATGGCAGATGCACCGAGATATTGCCTCGGTCAATTGCCGGTGCAGACGTGGGAACGAACGAGGTGGGAATGAGGGAGTTCAAGGCGTCCAAGCCCGGACTCTCGTCCGCCCCTGGATCCGCTGTTCTGAGCCTAGCATTGGCAACCACTGGGCGATGCATGTTTGACCTAGTGATTTTAGCGATGGTGGGACACATGACTGTTGAGGAGGAGTAAATCCTGGAGATGGTGGGATCTCCGCATTGTCTTGGGACATCGGATGGAATTATCGGACATTGGCAGCATCCTTCGCACATTGGCTATGTCTTGGAATCGGGTTGAATAAGTCCCTCCGATGCAGGGTCGGAGGTCGAATCAGTCGGGGCAGCAGTACGCCTTTATGCGGCACAGTGTTTACACCGCTGTCATAATACAGTGGACCTGCCATCTATATGCAGCGCTCGCATCGAGCGGAGACCCCAGAGCTAGGACATCATACCAAACCATCCTTCAGTTTGATCTTCGCCGTTTTCCCCAGTCCCAGAGTCCTGGCAATGGGGTTCACGATGGTGACCAAGTGGGATCAAAGCAAGCGATTCTGTGGAGGTCACTCATAACCTTGATGCATAATCAAAAGCTATTGGCGGATTTTGGAAAGACCCTGCGTTCAAGGAAGTGCTAGAAATGTGGAGTGCGATTATCAGTATGATTATCAATACGGCATTTGAATAAAGCGGAGACCCCGACATTGGACGGCGCTTCCGGTGACAAACTGGAGAGTATGTCACTTGGCAGGGACACGTGCGACAGCGCGGCATAGTGTGCACCGAAGCGGATGTAAAGACGGTGTTTAGGCAGTAATATGTGGAGTTCCCATGTCGTTGGTGTATTTGGCGTGTTTTAGCACACGATATGGGAGCCGTCTTTTCCGTGAATGTGGTATGCTTGCGGGAGCAAAGTTTGGGGCGGATTGATGGGGTACTGGAGAGATCCGCACAATTTTGTTGGGCCGTGGGGTAAATGGATCGATATGGAGAGTTGTCGCATGTATGCATGCTATTGTTCAGAGCATTCATTGGTACTGTTTTGTCCCGCGCGGTTGATGAAAAGGAGGGAGATGGGACAGAGCAGTCAGCACGGATAGCCCGAAACAGGAAGGCCCGAGATCTGCACAATGAGAGCCTCATCCCCACGCTAGGCTTGGGAACTCCACACGAGCCTCTCCCGACTGCTAAGCATGTACATTGGCAACTTATCCCGCCATGGCAGAAAGCGCGATTATCGCGTACTGCTCGCAACGTCGGCCAAGGCGATCAACCGCACGGCGAGGTTTTGTAGGAACGATGTAAGCAAATGGGGATGCTGACCTCAGTGGAAAAATCTATTTGGGTAGTAAAGGCATACCTACGTCCAACCTCGGGAACCTACAAGGCTCACATGAAGCACACCGCCATCACGTGCAAGGAATGTCTCCTCCCGGCCGGCAGTCGTCTCCGAGCTTCAATTCCGCCCGATGTTCGTCTGCACTCCATGTCACACGTTAGGTAGCGAGCCCGACATCACAGCACGCATCGTCACCGTTGCAGAACATGGCGTGTTTAAGCTCCACCACACACGGTCCTTATTAGTTAAGATCTTCGGCCAAGTCGCAGAGGCTGCAGAGCCGCATGCGCACGGTTGGTCAGACCCTGCATGGGGACGGACGCGAGTCGCCGGTGCATGACGTCAAGCGTGCTCTTGTTGAGATCGAAACCGTGCCGTATAGGAAAACTTAGGACGCTATCCATACACGGCGGCATGTAACCCGAGACGGCGTCCTTGATGACTGGCGGTATGCGAATGAACGCTGAGTTCCTGCATCATCTTGACATGCACATGTGTACCGTACGTTCGACGACAGGCGACTCGGCGTGGCGTAGTGCGCGAAGAAACTTCTTCCGTGATTCTCGAATGTCAGGCGAGCCAGCCGTTCACCACTCGTTCAACCTTCATCCTTCCGCTGGGGCTCTCCAGCATCACCCCAAGCCTTGCACACATGACGTAATGTGGAGGAAGACCTCGGGCTAAGACAAGAGGCATCCAGTGCCGAGCGCGCTTGTTGGTTTGCAAGCGTCCTCCGCTCTTCTCCAAGATTGGCCCAAGATGCCCTTCTCCACCAACAGACCCCTGCTAAGTTCGCCTTGTACCCACAGTTTATTTGCGCCTCTACCGCCATCAACAAGGCTCGCATTATTTGCTACACCAGCCAAGGCCAAGATGTTGGAAAAAAATCGTTATCTAGTTTTCTCCACGCGTCAGTCGTACCTTGGTAGCGTATCTTTTAGTGGGCCGAGAGTAGACGACCAGCAACCACGTTTTGGCCGAAGACCCTTGTGCTGGTACTGCGATGATCATTTAAAGGTGTACTCTCTCCCCACGGATCTTTCCTCCCCAGCATCTCCTCACATCTCTCCAGCTTTGACTGATACACTGCAACCATGCCGCCACGTATCAAAGAGTCCGAAAATGGTGTTCCCACCTACTGGGGCCAATCCGGTAGGATGCTCCAAGTCCTCATCACCATCGTTGCCGTTACCGATTTCCTTCTCTTCGGTTATGATCAGGGTGTTATGAGTGGTATCATCTCCGCCCCTGCCTTCGTCACTGCCTTCCCCGAAGTCGATGGCGACTCCACCTACGAAGGTTTCGTCGTCTCCATCTATGCCGTCGGTTGCTTGCTTGGCGCCATCTTTGTCTTCGTCTTTGGTGACAAGCTCGGACGTCGCAAGAGTATCTTCCTCGGTGCCGGAGTTATGATCATTGGTGTCATTATCCAAATTGCTTGTGTCCCTCCATCCAGCGGTGCCACAGCCCAGTTTATTGTCGGACGATGCATTACTGGTGTTGGCAACGGTATCAACACTTCCACCATTCCCACCTACCAGGCTGAGTATGTTCTGTTCCAATCCATCTCCCAGGGTCTTTTGCTAACTGCTTTCTAGATGCTGCAAGGCTAAGAACCGCGGTAAGGTCATCTGTATCGAAGGTTCCATGGTTGCCATTGGCACGCTCATCGCCTACTGGATCGACTACGGCTGTCTGTACGGCCCCGATGACTTCACCTGGAGATTCCCTATCGCTTTCCAGTGTGTCTTCGCCGCTATCGTCATCGTCATGATGATCTCGCTTCCTGAGTCTCCCCGATGGCTCCTCAACCACCACCACGAAGATGAAGCTGCTACTGTGCTGGCTGGTCTTAATGGAGTCTCCCGCGACGACCAAGAGGTTATCATACAGATGCAAGTCATCCGCGATGCTGTCAACTCCTCTGGTGGTGGTGGCAAGGTCCCAACCAAGGCTCTTCTGACTGGCGGAAAGTCTCAGCACTTCCGCCGTGCTATCCTCGGTGCCTCCTCGCAGTTCATGCAGCAGTTGTCTGGATGTAACGCTGTCATCTACTACTTCCCTATTCTCTGCCAGAGTGCGTTGAACACGACCCACAACCTCGCCCTTCTTCTCGGAGGTGTTAACATGGTTGTCTACGCCCTCTTCGCCGCCACCTCATTCTACTTTGTCGAGCGTGTTGGCCGCAGAAAGTTGTACCTGATCGGTACCGTTGGCCAAATGACTGCCATGATCATCACCTTTGCTTGCCTGCTTCCCGGAGGTGTAAACAACGAGAACAACGAGGGTCCTGCCAAGGGCGCTGCTGTCGGTCTCTTCCTGTACATTGCCTTTTTCGGTGTTACCTGGCTTCCTCTTCCCTGGTTGTACCCTGCCGAGATCAACCCCCTCAAGACCCGCCAGAAGGCCAACGCATTCTCAACGATCAACAACTGGCTATGGAACTTCTTCATTGTCATGATCACCCCGGTACTGATTACCAACATTGGTTGGGGTACTTACCTCCTCTTTGCTGCTCTGAACGCTTCCTTCATTCCCATCATCTACTTCTTCTACCCTGAGACTGCTGGCCGTTCCCTCGAGGAGATTGATCTCATCTTCGCCAAGGGCTACACTGAGAAGATGAGCTACGTGCAAGCCGCTAAGCAGCTGCCCAAGATGGACGAGGCCCAGATCGCCGAAGCCGTTCGCCAGTACGACCTCTCTGACAGCGACATTGAGAACCGCTCTGCGGCTGGATCGCTCAAGGAGAAGCGTCAGCAAGATGAGGAGCTCATGCCTCAGGCAGGCGGACAGATGTAAAATCCCAATATTTGCAATGGCGAATATATGAGCGCTGGTCGTACACGATTGCGACAGAGCGCGCTGTGTGCGCTTCAGTATCGGCGAGCCGATATTTGTTATGCATAATGCCTGGAGGAATTATACCCGACGCGCAGTCGTCAACCCATCTAGGTCCGAGATGCATAGAGAAGTTTGATAGGTCGCATGCTTGGATGTATGTGGTATTTCTTTTTATTATTATTGCTGGTTTTGCAGAGCGCGCATTATACCATAGAACGGCAAATGTCGTCAAGCCATAGATATCTATGATCATGTTTCACACCTTAAGTTTTTCTCCATGAGTACATGATCAATGTTGTGGTGAGGTTCTGTTGCAAATGACGGACAGAACTCTGAGACTTGCCATTATGACCTCGATCTTTACTATGCAATTTCACAATTGCTAGTTCGTGTTCACATGACGCTTTGAAGTGGCTGCACAAGAATGTGGTTGTTGTCGCTGCCTTCAGGTTGATTCCAAGGTTCGCCACGCGCACGTGCCTTGGCATTTCGGAAACGTTCCGAGATATGACACTTGTCTTTCAAACTTCAACGCCGCACTCTCGCGTCCCCTACCTGCAACTGAGCGACATGGCGAAAGCGAGTGTCTCGTTGGACACGCTGGGTCCATTCTTGGTCTGGCAGTTTCTTATACCAGTGGTAAGCATAGGCCTAAACTTTTGCCCTAGCAGGGCCTGACGCGGCAAAGGCAGCGGGTTGGACTCAATCAGTCCTCTACAGCATCTTCATTCGCGCCGGCGACCCTAAACCGCAACCTGGCACCCCACGCTACATCAAACATCGCCGCAATATTCTAATCGCCATATATGCGGCCTATTTTGCCTTTACCATCTACGAAGTCGACTTCAACCTCCAGCGCTCCAGCAACGCGTACAACGACCTCGGCGTACCGATAGATGTCGATGAGAGCGGACTAAACTCACGCTTCAGGCGACTGACAATCCGCTATCACCCAGACAAGATTGGACCAAATGTGGATAGAGATCGGGCAAACGACTTCTATGTTCATCTGAAGCATGCTAGGGACATTATTCTTGATCCTGCGAAGCGCTTTGCATACGACCGCTTCGGACCAACCATCTTTGCGCAGTGCCAGAGCTGTTTGACCATCAAAGATTACACAGACAGTGCGCTACTCACTGCGGTTACGACCTACGGCGCACTCCTCATCGTTCTCGTCGGTGCAAACGCCCTCGGTTTCCTTACTGATGGCTCGTATTGGCGCTACCTTGGTCTTTTGGCTGTCGCAACGTTCGAAGTCCGTACCGCGCTTCGCCCCGACCACCCTACCATTCTTTCAAGATACCTGAACCCACTCGTCGCGTCGACGCACTTCCGTCCTGCGTATCTACCCTTCCAGATCGTCACCATAATAAAGAAAGCTGCTATTTCCCTCACGCAGTTCCTTGCTCTGCTCATGCCACTTTACCGTGCCGACCCTCAACATCCTACTAAACCTGCCGACGATACCGAAGACATCCGCCACAAGCAGCTCGACCGCTTGAGTGGGCTCGTTGCAGAGAGCAACAAGGACGCGAATAGACTGTTGGAGTTGGAAAGTATACCATACAGAGACAACGAGAGGGCAAAGAGTGAGCTGAGGGAAGCACTCAAGAAATACATGGTGCAGAATGTGGTACATCAGGAGAGGGAGGTGAGGAATGCAATGGGCGAGGTTATGATGAGGAGAAGGACTGGTGTACCACATGGTGCTGTAGGCACAAGATAAGATTGTTGCAAGCTGATCGACGAATGGTAACAATCCAAAACTATTCTGTCATGACCTAGGGATCCGGCAGAAACCATATTTGACGATTCTGTCTATCGCGCCTCACCGTTAAGGGCTCTGCCTCTGGGTACTCAGTTCATGCTCTCCTACCATGGTTGAGGAATGGAAGATTGATACGATAGGACAGAAGACGAAGATAGGTAAGACGCAGCTCTGTCTGATTACGATCAATACGGAAGTTGCTTGGTGAATTTACACTATCTGTTTTCAAAACCCGGGTTTGGACTTGATCAGTCTTCTCTCAATTTGGAACTCTATCCGCCATCTGTGACGATGATTAGTTTCCCGCTTTGGGCCGTTTGTTGCTAAATCCGACTTTTGCCCCCGCTGTGGAACAAATTCCGATGATCCGCCAATTCCCCGCAACCCACCCCACACATTCTAAGACGCTTCCAGCAGCATTGACAGCAGCTCAATGGAATATTTTGCGGCCGTCGGAATAATGATGTCCACTTTAGCCTATGAAAGAGGTGTGATGATGTCGATACAAGTTCGGTCGTATTGTATGGAAGTATATGAAGCTTGGATATCCCTCATCCAAACGCAGTTACGACATCGACATCTTCACAATGCCTGCACTTCGAGCAGCCGCAATCTCACTTGCAGCCTCTGCTGTGTACGCCTACCCAACGATAGAACCATCTGGAGCGCAAACCTTAAGTTTACCGAACACTGCAGAAGGTGCCTCGATCCCACATAGCAATTCTTTCGCATCGTTCTCGTTCGAACCCGCATTCTGGGTTGAATTCTTCGGCAATGCCAGCAATACGAACAAGCTCACCTTTAGCATTTTGGATAGAATCCACGAACATGGCGGAAGACCCGTAATACGGCCTGGCGGTATCACCATGGACAGTATGGTTTTCGACAAAGAAGGCGGCGACGTAGTGCGTACCACCAGCCCAGAAGGCGGTGTATGGCGAACCACTGTTGGACCAAACTACTACAAAAGTTGGAGCAATTTCCCTAATGGCACCAAATTTATTTCAACCCTCAATTTTGGCAATGAGAGTCTGGATATTTCTACTGGCCTTGCAGTCGCCTCACTTACGTATCAGTCTGATAAGGTTGCATATTTGGAACTAGGAAACGAGCCGACCAATTATGAAGAAAGTCGGTGGAATGACTCGACAGCGGCCTATGTGCAGGAATGGAAGCAGTACACAGCTAGCATTGATGCTGCGTTGAATGCATTGAGCAGTTCGGATCTCCCTCAAGAGCGCTGGTGGGCATCTTCCGCAACTACAGATGACTCAGGCCTAGAAGTTCGACCTGCAGCGCTCATTCCAGCAGGTATCGACTCGGAAGATCAAGTCGGCATCTACTCAATACATTCGTATGCCTTCTCAACCTGCGATCCCAAACGCGCAGCGCTGGCTACCATCGAAAACATCCTCAATCACACCGAACTCACACGCTACTGCGACGAAGAAATCTACCCATCTGCTCGCGCTGCTCTAGATGCAGGGAATAGATGGAACATTGGCGAATTCAACTCTGTGTCTTGCTCTGGAGCACCAAATGTTACCGACACATTTGCACAAGCACTTTGGGTCGTGGATAGTGAACTCATCTACGCTACACGAAATGCCACTTCTACGCATCTGCACCAAGGGGCTACACTCGCTCTCCAATCAAACGAACAACTCAATACACCTGGGGCAAATGGTAGCCCAGGCTTCAGTACTTACTCCATGCTATACCCCCGCGACAGCGACTTGAGAGGTCCGGCACGTACTTTGCCGTCTTTCGTTGCGCAGCTCTTCATGGCTGAGGCTTTCGCTGTGCCTGACACTCGTGTGCGCGCTCTCGAGCCTCCAGCTGGTGTTGATTCAGAGTCTTTCTCTGCGTATGCTTTCTATGTGGAAGATCACCTGGCCAAGCTTGCTCTTGTCAACATGAAACCTTACTATGCCAATTCAACTGAGGACTTTTCAGTTCGCGTTGATTTGTCAGAAGCTGTCAGTTCCAGTGGCGGATGTTTGGGTGTAAAACGGTTGACGGCGCCTTTTGTAAACACTGGTAACAGTTCGTTGGTGTCGTGGGCTGGACAATCGTTCCCTCAGGGTGAGGCGATAGGCAAGGCAGTAGTCGAAGCAGTCGGAGAGGATAATGTGGTGGACGTCAGAGGAAGCGAAGCAGTACTCGTGTTCTTCAATAAGAACGACGCGTACGGTTTGTAAGTCTCACAACCTGCACGGTGCCTCCAGCATTGATGCAATAGTGTAATTATTGCGGCAGCAATATACTCCAGACCTGCCTCGAGAGCTATCGTACCCTCGTCAGGAAATCCTTCTTCCAGCTCTTCTTCTGTTGGAGGTCCGGTATCTGCCGTAATCGAGACCTCCGTTGATCATGATGTTGCTGTTGGTACGGCAATATGGGTCTGCAGTAACATCGATATCAGTGTTTGTTGGAAGCGTGGATGAAATTAATTCGGTGCCATCTTCGTTCAGATAGAATCTGAGCTTATCCTCACGGCATGCTTGATGTTTCTCTCCGCAGCAGAAACTGCCGCCATTACACTGCATGACGAGTTTATAGTCCTTTTGTTGGCCTGTACAGTCAGTTCCACCACCTCACTGCATGGGCAGACTGTGTTTGCTTCCATCTGTTTCCCAATCAAGACTTGTACAGCTTAGTGTGAATTATTTTCCAGTATTTGATATGTCATGGCTATAGCAAGTGCCCTGAATGCGATCGTCATCTTGGACAATGTGTGTTCTGTTCAGATAACAGCACATGTTTAAACCAACACAAATCCGTACCAGAAGGTTGTTATCTTTCTCGCCATATCCACTATAGTAGTGAAGCACTAGAAAACGTAAGAATGAGCAGACCAAGAGGGCCGACTGATAGATAATGAATTCCGAAGCGTGGCGAGCTTGATAAGGATATCCACATCGATAGGAAAAGAGTAGCAGACGAGGCTACAAGTACAAGGTAGTGGCTGGTTGTCCACTGAATGAACTGGCAGATATGCTAATATGGAGCAACGAACCACCCACGCTTGTGAATCTTACATCCGTATCGCGTAGTCTGATGTATTTACCACAGTGCGCCTTGTCGCCGGATCCTTCATTTGTTTTTGTTTCCAACACCATCCGGAATTCAAGGGCTGAGGCTGAGCTGTAAAGCTGACATGCTGGCATTGGCGGGTCGGCATGAAGTTGCATAGTGGCTGCGGCCGTGTTGCGCTGTTGAAAGGCAGTAGGTAGGGATCCTTCGGCCTACTACAGTAGAATAGCTAGCGCATCACTCCTTCGGCATACGTCGCAAATTCTTCTTCCTCAAACGTAACCTTTCCATCAAGTTTCATCGATTATTTCTGAAGCTCTCGACAGTGTAAGATAAAAAATAATATATTTCCTTGCCTCACTCGACGGTAGATTTCGCAAGTTTTGTGGGACGACAAAGGCAAGTGCCCAGCCACTAAATCTGCATCGCATGAAGGACGATACACAGGCGCAAGCCTAGTTTCGTCTGGCGGCGCCACAGAACTCCATTCGAAAAGGTGGAAATTATACACGGTATACCTAAAGAAGTTTTTGGACGACAGATTTAACACCCACAAGCACGACCGCTATGGTCTGTTAAACCAACTCCTGCGCTGATGCAAAGCTTCTGTTCTTTAAAAGTCAGAGAAAAAGAGTCTATCCTCTTCATACTCTCTGTTATATCGTTGCAAACCGTATGCGCAGTCCGCTTTCTCTCAACATATCGACCACACTCTCTATTTTGAGCATGAACTGCGCAGATTCTTTCGAGAAGCGCTCATAATCCCCATCACTCAAGGATCCTTGGGCTAGATCAACCTCAACCACGACTTCAGTCCTAGCTGTCTTGATGATAGCGAGGGTTTCGATGGTCTTACGACACATATGTTCTTCAAAGAGACGCTTGTCTGGCAACAGGAAGGCAAAAGTCAGAGGCTGTATCTGTATGTGTAAACGTCTTGCATAGTGCGCCGGAACCATTCCCAGCCCAAAACCATCCGTTTCAAGGAACGGTTTGAGGAGGCAGAGCTCGTGATGTGCAAACTTGAATGTACGTGTCCAATAGTAGCATTCGAGTAACTCTCTAGCCACATCCCCACCTAATCCTTCTGCGCTCAGGTATGTGGCGGTGTGGTCTTCGACCCATTGGTAAGAGTGCTGGCCGCAAGGTTGTCGGACGAGGTGCGTGAAGCGTCGGTTGTTTCCAATTGCTGTGCGTCTGACAATGACTTCGTTGTCATAAGATCCTTCAACGCAGTATGCATACACGCGGTTACGAATCTCGCGTGGTAGACGTGTGTAGATGTCTGAAGCTATCTCTTCGACCCGAGGTACAGGAGGCCTATGTCTGTTGTTCCTGACAGGTCAGCCATGTTCATGTTCTCCTGTATCTGCCACTTACTGCTTCCTAGGTCTGTCCACCAAAAGTTCTATATTCCATACAGCACTCTGCTGTCGCATCATCTCAAATCCGAATGATACGTCGCTATATTGACGCAAGTCAATCATCTCTCCTTGTGGTCGACTGGGCTATCGCATTGGATGCTAGAGAAGCATTAGGCGTTGTGGTCCTTACCATATATACCCTGTGGTCAAACAGCGGTGTCTTGTCCAAAAGTCGGACTCACCGTGCAAATGCACACTGGTAACCACGTGAGAGCTAACCTGCAATGATGCTTTTCGCGAATGGTTTCGCGGTACATTGTCCACTAGTTTCGCCGCCACACGAAGTAATCCGAATTAGGAAAGCATTGCGCATGGCACGGATCCCGTAGGAAGCGGGTAACAACAACAGATGCTTCAAAGTGTAACGTCTAACAGCATAAGCCCGAAAGCAACGCCGCAGTCGCCGATATGAGATGACCCGAATTGAGGCCTAAATGATGGCTTTGAAACCGACTTCGCCGAACGCATCTGCGGCAGCCTCGAAAGAACCTTTGCGACGTAAGACTTTCCAATGTTAGTAGTATGTGGTAAGCATCTGACCTACGTCCAAGGTTCATCTATCAATATGCGCACGTACCTCAATAGCTCGTTTTCGTCTATACTGCCAGATTGGTCATGTGAGTAGAACAGGGTCACGTGCACTAGCCTCGGTGGAAGACAAAAAGCATACCTATGCCATCCTTCGGTAATCCCAAGATCGGAAACCTGCACAAGTGCGAGCCCAATGTAATGAAAGTAAGCCACCCTGCCGATATCTTACCTAGATTGCCCATCCACTACGGTCCGGACCGTGGGTCGATAGGACCCCACATGCGGCACAGCACGCTCAACAATAACGGTGAGGCTGCGCTGAAGCACACTGACGGGAGGCAGATGTGCTCAATGTAATGCTCTAATTCCGCGGAGGGTCTGCATTGGCGAAATTCGATATTGTCTGACGTACGTTGACCGTGCCACATAAGACATCGCCGCTTACATACGCCCCGTATCGCAAATCGCTCACACCGTAAGCAGCACTCAGACCCATCGTTAATCGATCGCAGAGGTAAACACAAGTTTGCCCCATCCATACCTTAGTATTGCAGTTCATGATTGATTAGGAGCGGGTCCCGTCCTCTTGCACGGCACGTTGCGATCTTTCTCCACCAACATTTATCATAGCAACAAGGGTAAATGCAACGAAGATCTTCTCTATTCACCGGAGCTGCACCATGATCTTACTGAGTTTCTCTTACGCCATCATCAAGATCGAAGTTGGGCGTCTTACCCAGTAATCCCGCTACACCCACACTCACTCGGGAACATCCTTTTCGCTTAGAGCCAAAATCCTTCTGCCACTTGAGTGTTCCCGCATCTCCACTACATCATATTACTATTTGTCACACATCACCCAGCTTTGCGCGTCTGGGCTATTCTCTCTATGTCAAAGGAGTCCTAGACAACGCCCAGAACCGCGGACTCCACACCAAAAGATGATGGGTCCTTGCGAAGATCCTACAGTCTAGTCGGCGAACTGAATGCCTTTGTTGACTGCCTAATCAGCTGTTTAAGATTTCGGTTCTAAAATACTCGAGCCTAGCATATCTCTATCTTCCACACGTCAGTCACGTAACCTTCTTATCTGTCACTAGAGGATCCGGTGGCCCCCAGGTGGTATGACCTTTTAGCGCTTGTATGTTTAGCGTCGCCATCGAACTAGTGTTCCGGCGTTTATACGAGTCCGAAGCATCTGAGCTAACAGAATGATGACATATTCAGTAGGCCACGGTTATTGGGGTTCACTATCTCAGCAATCTATTGGCAGACGATTAACATGTCTGTCAATACTATTGGATTGGCTTCCCAGAACCAACACAGTGAGTGACCACGAAGGTAATGGACTCAGCGACTCCCTAGCGATTATAGTAAGCGCCAATGCATTGTGCATATTAACCCACATCTTGATCACAAGGTGGCTCAAACGACACACTAAGGGGTTGCCCAAGCCTTTCAAGCTCCACGGATCAAAGCCCGCTGAACTGTTCTGGATCTCGTTGGCGTCAACCTCTAATGGGAGCAGCCACCGTTGAGAATATTCGCTACAACGCAGATATCTATCTTTAAGCATGACATCTGCATGCTAAGCAACGTCACAATATTCTGAGACACGATCAAAAAAGGGCTCAACCGGTATCGCCCCAGCAGCGGCACGTTGCCATCGGTTGACGAATGACTGTTCTGTCTTTACAAGAACAGAAGTCTCTTGGACCGAAAGCACTAGTTGAACCTGTCGGTAGTATACCAAGTCCTTGTGGCTACAGCTTATGTACGTCTATCTAGCGATATCACGCCAATATCGTTTCCAATTCGCCAGAAGTGTTCTTTCAACCCTCGCTAAGGACAACAACAATACTCGATAGACGGACGTGCCGCTTTCTGGGCGCAAATTACCCGCTGTACAAGCAATGCCGTAACATATTCAGTCTTTGGCCGGGACTGTTGATGACGAAACTATGTGTGGCGGACGAGGGGCTGATTCTGAAAGGATTGATTGGAGCGGAAAACCGAAAGGTCTCGATTGTTATGGGGTGATGGGGCGAATATACGGAAGACAAGAGTTAACGAACCATAAAGAACTTCATGTCCCCCATTAGCGTTGGTCACAAAGAAAAGACCTCTTACTCTGATCACCTGGGCAGGTATGCAAAGCTACTAGCATTGTATAGAGAAATCAGATATCACAAGCTTACTTCACACTTGCTTGTCTCAGCTGTTTACAATAGAGAGAAGATATGTCTCTTCAGAAGGGTATTGCATGCAGCGATAAGACGAATGCTGTGTATATCACTGGCTTGGGTCATGAGTACCCGTCCCACTCAATCAAGCAGGAGCACTTCATGGAACTGTTAGAGAAATTGCACCCCGACGAAGTAAATTCACCAATGTTAGTACTCATTACCCTAGCATATGACACTATTCTCTCTTCTTCTAACATAGCAAAAGTATCCAAAAACTGGGGCGATTCAATGGTAGATCAAGAATCCTCTCTCGCCCAACTACCATCGACTTCAATAGATGTACCGGAGAAGACGCCATACCTCCAGAAATCGACTGTATCTCCCGCATATTTCGCACTTCAGGGGTACGGCTTGCTACCTCTGCGTGCAAGAAGGCTATGCAAGAAGCTCAACTTGGACCTCGCGATATAACGCATACTGTGGCAGTGACCTGCACTGATCAGAACAATCCAGGATACGATCACTTTGTATGTCAAGAGCTTGGACTTGGGTCAAGTGTGCAAAGGTCGTTACTCCATGGTGTTGGCTGTGCGGGTGGTTTATCGGCGCTTCGTACAGCTGCTGATATTGCCGCCGCAGCATCACTCAGAGGTCGGCCTGCACGCATTTTGGTAATGGCATGTGAGTTGTGCAGTCTCTTTCTTCAAGCAGAGCTACAAGCCACCCTACAAGACGGAGAACTACACATAGGTCCAGCATTATTCTCAGATGGCGCAGCGGCGCTGGTGGTATGCAACTATCTTGCATTAGAGGAGAAGCAAACACCGGTGTTCGAATTGGTAGAGTGGAGTAGCATGGTAGTGCCCGATACTTCCGGACATATGTCTTACGTTATAAAGAAGAATGGTACGTCTCCGCTTCCTTCTGTTTCGTATACTCTTTATTGCAGATTATTACTGACACTCTAGCAGGCATGATAGCCACTATCAGCAAATTCGTTCCAGAAGCAGCCATCAAGGCCATCATACCCATGTTCAGACATCTTCGCGCTGCCTTCGATATTACCCACAAGGCTGCGTCGTTGGTCCGCAGTCAGGCTTCAAGCTTCGATTGGGCGATACATCCAGGCGGCGCGTCCATTCTACAAGGGGCCAAGCAAGCCCTGTGTCTCACTGATGACCACATTCGAGCCTCACTCGACGTCTACCAACATCATGGCAACTCATCAAGTCCAACCGTTCTTATCGTGCTAGATAAACTCCGTATGATGGGAGAAGGCAGAGAGAACGTGGTCGCCACCAGCTTCGGACCCGGGCTTATAATCGAGATGTGCATAATGAGGCGGTGTCGTCGCATTGTTGTGCCACCTCCATTCATGATCGACAAGCATACCTCTTGGTATGCTTCATTGCTTTCTCTACGCGCGTGCTTGCCGAAAACAGGGCCGAGAAGGCAGTCGAACGTAAAAGAAGTTGTGGTGAAGAAGACGAGGGGGTATACTCCGATTCTATGGTAGGGAGTAGCAATGCGACTTTTTGTTCCAGTTTCGGTACATACAAGATATATTGAGAGGATTTCAGTATATGAATTGCAGGGTATATGGGACTGTATGTAACTGTCGTCTGAGGCCTGCCAAAAGAGGCTCTTCGTGACTGTTCTTCCACGCGAAACCATACGTCGAGGTTGCCTGTTTAGTGTATCATTTGGAGAGTGTGGTCGGTTTCAAGAAATGTCGTGACTAGCACAAAGCCGCATTACTATGGTTGCTGTTCGAGTGCACGGTAAAGAGCCGCCCACGGGCCATAAATTAGAGTGGGTCCGATCATGACGTCAACGCGTCTAATCTCCAAACGACGCGACTTGACATATCACTCGTCCTTCATGAACCTTAAGACACAACCTGCAATCCGAATATGACACGAACACGCTCAAGCAAATTACATGTTGAGCAAACTGAAGCACCACCGGCCGTCCAAGGCAACGACGACGTCACCGAAGCCGGTGAGAGGCTGGCAACGCCACCTTCTGCATCCTTTAAGAACAAATTAAAGAGATACCAATACACAGAGACACGGACGATGCAAGATACTCCATTGTTATCTGCATCGCCAACAAAATCTAGAAAGCGTAGTAGGACGACCGCAACGACTGCTGTCAAAAGCTTTCCCGAATCGTCCGCAAGACCAAAAAAGAAGCGGATGCCTAGCAGATATGCCGACCCATCCAAATACGCACATCTATCACCACTGGTCGACATACTTCAGCCCAATCTGATATGTGTCTTCGTTGGCACGAATCCAGGCGTTCAGACCGCCGCCGCCGGACACGCATATGCGCATCCTTCCAACCTATTTTGGAAGCTCCTCCATTCTTCAGGGCTTACCGACCGTCGACTGAAGCCTGAAGAAGACCGGAGTCTCCCTGATCTGTATTGTATGGGCAACACTAATATCGTCGAGAGACCATCCAAAGACGCTGCTGAGCTTTCGAAAGAGGAAACAGCAGCAGGTACCGCGAAACTCGATGCCAAGTTCCTAAAATACAAACCAGAAGCTGTATGCATAGTAGGGAAGGGTATCTGGGAAGCGATATGGAGGTATCGCTATGGTAAAAACCTTGGCAAGAAAGATTTCAAGTACGGATGGCAGGATGAAGAACACAATATGGGCAAAAGCAGGGATGACAAGGAAGAGCGAAATACCAACGGGAATGTGTGGAAGGGGTCCAGGGTATTTGTTACCACGAGTACGAGTGGACTAGCGGCGAGTCTAAAGCCGGCCGAGAAAGAAGCTATCTGGAAGCCCTTTGGGGAATGGGTGCAGAAGCGAAGGGCTGAACGAAACTTTCTGCCTCGGCCTTTGGAGGCCCAGGAAGCTAGCGACGAGACGCTAGAACCTTGAGCGCTGTCAGTTACGGAAACTGCCGCCACATGTCGCTGAAAGAATCAATGTTTGAACAGCTCTACGATACAAACAAGCAAAAGATCACGGCCAAGCCCTCTGTTCTCCATCTCCATATCAGAGCAATGAGTAAACAGACTTCTCCGCCGTCTTATTTACGAACCTTGGGAGCCACGATTTGTTTCGCTGTGCAAAGTCACAACCTACCAGATGAACAAACCCATGACTTTGGTACCGACAACCCCGGGGTCCCATTGCTTGTATCAAGACTGCGCCTCAGCTGCGCCACAAGAGGACGACAGATTGTCTCGTTGGTTATTTTCGAGATCCTTTTTGCGCCAAGCCGGCTCTCTTCTAGAGTAACAAACTTCGGTTTTCGGACCGCAGACTCCCCACTTGGTAATCGACGGCGTATTGACTTGGCGCCGGACGCATCCGCGCCGTTCAAGGTCCGCTGTACGTACGCCGCCGCGGATTTCGGATCTCTTGGCGGTAAAATCCTCGCATGTCATACCTCACGAGTAGCACTCTGACAGCAGCTGCTCAAGCGGCATGACGGTTTCAAAATACTAATCTCGTTGTTGTTATCCCAGAAGCCAAATCGACTGCATCCCCATGATTTGACTGAGCCACCATGACTGGCCCGTCTAGTATTGCTTGCCGAAAAAGTGGCGCCACAACTAAACTATATCGAGAGCTAGCGCGCGGAAAACACGGCAAGTTTGTATTGCAACAGCACCTCACATCGCAGCGTGCGTTTCCTAAAACGGATTCCAGAAACCGCTCTCTTTCAAAGGAGGTGGGTGACAGGGACTTCAGAGAGACTGTGTACAACACTTCTGCTCCACGTCCATCAGATTTATGAGCAGACTTGTCAGTAACACCACACGACACATCAACGCATTGCAAATCACACCGTCCACACCTGCACATGCATATTACCACACAATCAAGTCATGCACCTCAGATACCAAGACTTTGCGTACGCGTATGACAAGGGTCCTGCGCCTACCGTTACAGTAGTGGCTTGCTCGACCCCACCTGTGCCATAGCAAGCCCGAGCGAATGGCACAGTTACGTGCCATTGCTGCCACACTTGTGGCGCCGAGCAAAGCTCATCCGCAGTATCTAGGTGTATGGGCTCTATTCGGGCATCTACGCGGTCAATTGAAATGAGCACGTTGGTTCGTGCATAGCCTTTCCGCCCTTTACGTTGCAGATCCGCTGTTGCCGTTTACCGAAAGCAACAGTCAGCGCGTCGAGGCCTGTAATCTTAAAAACACGAGTTCATCCCCCAAGATTCTAACATTACTGTGCCACATCCCTCTGCCACATCCCTCTGCCACACTTCCTCTGCCACAGAGCACACTTCATATTCTGCCACACCACAAGCCTCACCAAGACCCGCGATACGCTTAGACGCTTCACCAGCCACGAACCCGCATCTCTATTCCAACGTCAAGTCGACAACACCACAACAGCAAGTATGAGCTACCCGGCGCCTCAACAACCTGGTTACTATGGCCCGCCACCGCAGCAGGGCTATGGACAGTACCCTCCTCCTCAGCAACAGGTAAGTCTAATGAAATATGCATGCTCCTGCCTGGGTCAAGTTTGCGCAAGTTGAGGGTGTGGCTGACGGTGTGTTTGGCACAGATGTACTACCAACAAGGTCCGCCTCCACCTCAAGAGGAACCAAAGAAAGACAGAGGATGCTTGACTGCTTGCCTTGCGACTTTGTGCTGCTGCTGGCTCTGTGGTGAGACATGCGAATGCTGCCTCGATTGTCTAGACTGCTGCGACTGCTGCTAGTCCGCTTCTTCAAGTATGCGACAACGATAACGGCGGTTCATTGGGGAAGGAATCTGGAAAACGAGACGATCACACGCTCACCACATTTCCTTGATGTCAGGGCGCGTATATCCACCGGGCTTCGATGATGGGCACACCAGGGGGAGGACTTGATTTAATGGCTTTGGTTGGTCACTGCAGCGGCAATGGAGTTAAGTGGTATTGCTCTTAGTGTTTGTTGATACAAATCTGAAATTCACTTCTATTTCATTATGCTCCCCTTTCCATCTTCGAGTGAGAGAATCGCAAGTTGGCTGAAGCTATGTTGACAATAACCCATGTTTCATCACTAGTGTTAGGGAATGCCTGCCGTTACGCTCGTGAACACATACTTCGATACCGACCGATCCAAACGAAACGATCAGCCAACCAAAACCGCCGCGGTTAGTCCTCGTAGTTCTCTTCAAGTTCTTCTTGATAGGCCTCCTGCGCTTCGATGAGTTCCTCGCGCTTCTCCTCCATAGACTCCCGATCGCTACTTGAGATGGAGGAACCGTCCTCGTCATGGGTTGGTACTGGGGGAGGTTCTTCAAAGGCCGGGTGGTTCTCATAAGGATCCGATGGAGGAGGAGCACCATAAGCAGGATCCGCTCCGTAACCAGGGTCAGCGCCGTAACCACCTGCAGCCGCAGCAGGAGCCGCAGGTGGAGGAGCATACGACTGTTGCTTGCTCTCATCGTCGCTATCGTCAGCTGGGAATTGTTAGTGGCAGAATTTTGTTTGAAAGCTGGAGGGGAAACAAACCGAGTTGATGGCCAATAAAGGCACCGGCTGCAATACCGCCGACACCAGCGGCAGCGAGCATGGCAGTAGAGTGGCCGCTCTTCTTCTTTTCGGCCTCGTTGGTGGCTGCTCCAGATGGCGTGTAGTCGTGTCCCTGGTGGCCATGGGTGTTTCCGAAAAGGCCACGTTCATCGTGACCACCGGGTGGCATGTAAGGTGCGCCTGCGGGAGGAGGAGCATATGCTAGATCCAGGTGTACAAAGTCAGTCCATGTCTCACATGCAGCTCGTTCGGGGGCACTTACGGCCAGGTGGCAGATGCGAAGGAGGATCCCACTGTGTGCGACCAGTGGCTTGTTCAATGTAGAACCAGCGCTGGCTGTTCTGGTCCCATTGCTGTGTCCAGCCTGGCGGCATTGGTGGAGGCGCTCCGTAAGGCGCAGGTGGGCCTACGGGCGTAGGAGGGCCACCATATGGTTGTTGTTGCCCATAGCCTTGAGGTGGGTAGCCTTGTCCTTGGGGTGGGTACCCTTGAGGAGGACCCTGAGGAGGATAACCATGGCCCTGGGGCGGGTAACCTTGATCTTGGGGTGGGCCGCCGTGTCCACTTTGTGCGTAGTAGCCATCCGAGAGTGCGCGATCACCAGGACCAGCACCGCCTGGAGCGCCATGAGAATCTACTGAAATTAGTGTTTTGCTTTACATTGATACAGCAGATACACATGCCGGCTGGTTTCTTATCGTCGTCATCCATGAGCTCCTTCATCTTCTTCTTGAGGAAATCCATGATTTTGACTTGTTATCTAGCAAACGTAGAGCTGGTCTGTAGCAATACAAAGAGACGTCGTGCGGGGTAGTAGGAGGTACTGAGAAATGAGAAACTTTAGAGCTTTCGATATGCGCGGGGTGCAAGTGGCTTTAAAGCAAACGGATCCTGTGCACAGTCCGTTGCCAGCGGGGCATCTCAGGGCGCCCCCGGAGCGCACTGCCCCAGTTGTCTTTGAGCAAATCGCTCACGCTGTACATGCTTGGCATGATGCAGAGGGGAAGGAGCATGGCTTCGAGTGGAGGGGCATGTCAAAGCTGACCACTTCACTGGCAGGCGGGTGGTAAAAGTGGGGTGATAAAACGGCCTGATACGTCTGGCGGCTCGTCGGAGCTCCATTGTTTGTAAGAACTCCATTAGTGAAGCTTGGCGTGGATATATGAAGCTTTCTTCGCTGCGCGTTCAATGTTATGTCAGGGTGTATGCTGTTGGCATTTCGCGACGGCAAGTTACGCAAAACTTGCAGTCGATTTTATATTCTTAATCTTTGATGGGTCCAATGTTCGACTCACCTCCGGCAGAGTATAAGGGGTCTGCTTCATTCCGGGATCCTCGTATCATAATCGATGAGCTGGTGAGTGGTAACATGTGGTTGGTGACTGAGGCTTAGCGGATCGCATGCGCCATTTATTGTGGCACTTCTGCCACCGTGGCTAGATTATGAGGCGCACCACGATAGCCGCGAACATCAGATTTCGCATGCCGCGTGATGTCAGTAGGGAACACGAGGGGCTTGCACATGTTGCACCGCTGTACCGTTACACCACCGTGCCGTTGCATCGCTGCACACATATGTAGAATTGTTGTTGTAGGCGCGGCCGGCAATGAAGCTGGAGGTCTTCCTAAGTCAGTAGGATATCCCTTCCATGACAAATTTGGCAATTGCGAGAGAAGTGCTGGTAATAATATGAAGATGTCCGGGCAGCCGGTACAAGGGCACAGGTTGAGTTTCCAATGCCGGGGTTCTGGTTCAAATGGTCTTCTCTTAACCTGGTACAGTGTGCGTGTATACACGGGTTCCAGGGTGGACTGGCAGGTGTAGCGCAGTCGTGACTCGCGACCTTGAACACCTCATCGGGCCGGAGGCGGAACGGTACGCACACGTGGGCATTACGCAATTCATCAAGTAAGAAGGCGACCCTGGGCCAAAAGCCGCCGAGAACTAGCCATGGACTGCGCTTGCACGACTGTCTGGTGTTTTGCGTCTGGCAGTCAGACGACTGGATGGCGAAGAAGAGGACGAGACGCTTGGCGTTGTTTTTGTGTATCGCGGATGGGAAAGAGCCACCCGAGGTTGGGGAAAGAGCCACCGGCACGCCGGTCTAAATTTGAGCCGGACGAGAAGGCGGGACAGGAGCATCGATGAGACGTTTGGCTAGGCGTGAATAGTAAGCAACTAGACGCAAAAGCATCAGGAGAGTCCGAAAGTGATTGCGAGTTAGGTTGCGTTGGGACGAATGGGAGGACGGGTGGATTGATGGGGTCTGTGCTGCATGGTCTGAGCCTTGGGTTCTAGAACCAGATCCATGACGTCGGCTCCACCAGAGGGTGACTCGAGGACCGCCAACGATACCCAGCGGAAATTACGCCAGTCGCGAGTGGCATGGAATGGGCATTCGAAGAATGCCATGTGTGGTGTCATAGCCCTGTCTCGAAGGCGATGCAGCCCTGAAGCAGCCTGGAGAGTATCGCGTGGTTGTTCCAGCTCCAGCCCACGTCGACTGCGATCGCGATCGACCTGTTGCAGGGGAGGCCAAGCACGAGCACAAGCGAGATCTGCGGCCTCTTGACCCTCCTGTACGCTCCGCCAGATGCGATAGCTGAAAACAAACGTGCAGAGCGTCTTCATGATGCCCTGAGGACACGACATCCATTGAATTACCACTGCCATCGTCATCGTCGCCGCGCTACCTCACCACCGCCCTGATCACCAGACCCGAGCCTGCGAGACGCCCCGAATTGTGCCGCCGTGTCAAGATACTTAGCGCGCAACGCTGGCCATCCCACCGGTGTCATCTACTCGGTCCATACGCGGTGAGACTTGATGCTAGATCTGGAGACGACGCTCCACCACACCGACCTTTGCTCGTAGCGTGACGTTCGTGGGCGCGATCAACGGCCTTCGCCCTATCTGTTGACTCGCATCCTGGCATTTCTATGTGGGAGCCGCGTTCAATCTTCACAGGCACTAGCACGACATCGACGCCTCACGACACCACGCCCGAACAGCGCAGACTGAACATCGCCAGCCATCACGAGCCCCTCGCTACCACGCCCGGCACTCTAGAGTCGCCCATAGTCCTTGATACACCAGCCAATCTCCCCGTACTACAGCCCCCATGGACGCCCAAGTCGCCACTTGACCATCGCGACTGGAATCAACCCCCGGCTTCTGCGCCGCTGCAGAGCAGTCGACGACACAGTGGGAAGCAGCAGCCTGTGCAGACACCACCGGCTGTCGTTGGCATCAAGCGCCCCCCTCCCTTCAGTGACTTCGCCTCCGCGTCTGCGTCGTCTGCGCACCCACCAGCGCCCGCCAGCGAGCCCTTGCACAAGCGCCGAAAAGCGCACCCGCGTTCGCGATACTCCCTCGATCACTTCAGCTTCCCCAAGAGCGCCTACTTTCGCCCGGACGGCCAACCGCCCTCGCCCCTCTTCTTTTCTTCGCGAAACAACCGACCACAACTGCCCGCACGCTTCTCGAGTAGCGAGGCAGCAGCAAGGATGCTCAGCAAAACGCGCGAGGACAGTGGCATCAAGACCGTCACACTCGCAAGGGGAACATTCAGCGGTCTCAGCCCCCCAGGGCCACCAGGGGCTGCCAGTGGGCGCACTTCAGAGCGTTCAAGCGTGGCGCCTACAGCATCACCTGATTCGCGCGACAAGAGCGATCCGTTGCGCATACTGGGCTCCGTTGGCATAGTCGAACTGCTCGAGCAAGATGACCGGCCAACTTTCATCGTTGATACAGGCGATTTCGCAAACTACATGCCCGAATCTTGCCAGTTGCAGATACTCTTCTCCAACAATGCCCTTCGATCTAACCCATCCACCTGGGAGCTGGTAGCTGGAAGGCCGACTGGTTCTCCGTCTGATGATGACACGGCGCATGCGACACAACAATTTCGAGGCTGGTTGCTTAGCACTGGGGTCCAGGCCGATTCTTCCGAAGTGAACCCTTCTCCTGTTGAACACGGTGGCATTGTGTGGACATGTTACACCCTTCGAAAACGGCTGCGCGTCGTCTCTGGTTCCGTCTCCGCTCCTGCCATCATTTTGCCTGCTTTGGATGGACCCAACGATTTTGCTATACCTTCGACCTCGTCCGCAGGTCTCGGTTCGGGAACCAACGGTGATACCACTTCATCTTCCGCTGATCAGGGTGAAGCACAAGATTATTTTGGCAGCACTATTCCTAGCATTCCCCAGGGGGCCCAGGGTGAACCGACTCCTCCCATCTCTGCGCCCCAACCTGAACCGATTCAAAAGAAATTCGGCAACCAGGGCAATGGCATGATCCCAAAGCCATCTCAAATAGACATATCGTCAGTGGAAGAATCCTCTTCCTTTGCGAACGAGTGCGTATTGCGAGCTCACACTGCAGGCGATGTTGACCCGTTCCATAGAGAAACTAACGCCCATCGGGATGATCACCACGACATGGGATTCTTCGACTGGACCAGACTGGCAATGTCGCCCTCTCTTCCTAGACACATTCAGTTTGCGCGGTCAATTGATTGGGCGAGCACACCTTTAGGTCCGATCGAGTACTGGTCTAATGACCTTCGCGCTATGTGCAATCTTATAATGTAAGTTGATCAGTCTTATACGCACCTTCTGAGTGTAAATACTGACAATGATCAGGGCGAGCCCCCACCCAGCTGCTATGTACTGGGGAGAGGAACTCGTTGCTATTTACAACGAAGCCTATATTGGTATGGTCGCCTTCTCCAATCCGTCTACGTGTATTGACATCTCGACTAGGACTCGCAGGGCAAAAACACCCCACTCTTATGGGACAGAGTTACAAAGTGGCTTGGGCGGAGATATGGGACGATGTCAAGGGAGTATTTGCCAATGCACGTCTTACCGGGCAAGCGACAATGAAGGATGACGATTGCCTGTTTATGAAACGCAACGGGTTCCTCGAAGAAACATACTTTTCGTGGTCCATCATCCCCATGGTTGGCCAAGACGGTACGGTCATGGGTCTCTACAACCCCGCCTTCGAGAAGACACGCCGCAAAATTGCAGAAAGACGCATGCTCACGCTCCGCGAAGTTGGCGAACGGACTGCCACCGCTAGGGAAGTCAAGGGCTTCTGGGATCAGGTGTTAATAGCACTGACCGAGAACGAGTTCGATACCCCGGTAGTAATGCTCTACAGCGTAAACGATGAGAATGATAGTGACTCGTCTTCTATACAATCCAGCAGCTTGCTAGGTTCGAAACAGTGTTTCCTCGAAGGCTCTTTAGGCGTCCCAGCTGGCCATCAAGCTGCTCCTGAGCAGATTGACTTGAAGGAAGGGCAAGAGGGCTTTGGTCCCGTCTTTCGGGAAGTAATGAAGACTGACAAGCCCGTGGTTGTTAGCATCGGATCAGGCGATTTACCGCATGCCATGATGGACGGGCTGGACTGGCGAGGTTTTGGCGACCCCTGCAGAGACGTCGTCATATGCCCAATCCATCCTACGACAGGCGAAAACATACTTGGCTTCTTAGTCATGGGCATCAATCCGCGGAGACCCTACGACGACGATTACAACCTTTTTGTCCAATTGTTGAGCCGCCAGTTAGCCACTTCTCTGGCTTCCGTCGTTCTTTTCGAGGAGGAAATTCGAAGAGGACAGAGAGCAGCACGCCTCGCAGCAGAAGATCGTTACAACCTTTCAACCCAACTTGCTGCCCGCACACAGGAAGCCAGGGAAAGCGAGACGAGATTTACGCGAATGGCGGAGCTGTCTCCTGCAGGTCTCTTCATCGCTGATCACGTCGGAAAGATAACTTACTGCAACGATACATGGTACGAGATCTCGCGAGTACCAAGAGAGCCAGAGATGACGGACAGGTGGATCGACTACGTCAAAGACGAGGATCAAGGCCTCATCCTTGCGCATTGGAAGGAATTAGTCAACGACACTACGCCTATCAACATCGAGTTTCGCTTTAAAGCACCTTGGGAGGACCGAAACCGCAACAAAAGTGAGACCTGGGTCCTGTTCCAGGCCTATCCAGAGAAGGATGATGATGGGCAACTCAAGAGCGTTTTTGGAAGCATCACGAACATCTCACCTCAAAAGTGGGCCGAAGGCTTTCAAAAGCGGAAGATGGAGGAAGCTGTCGAACTCAAGCGACAACAGGAGAACTTCATCGACATAACATCGCACGAGATGAGAAGTAGGATTCTTCCTACATCAACCGCTTATGAGTAAATGCTAACGTCTTACAAGATCCTTTATCTGCTATTCTGCAGTGTGCCGATGAGATTAGCACCATCTTAGGCGACTTCAGAACTTCAGGTTCCAACGTCATCGAGGAGGGCATCGTTGCCGATTCGATTGATGCAGCACAAACAATCGCCTTATGCGCACAGCATCAAAAGCGTATCGTCGACGACGTTTTGACGTTATCAAAGCTCGACAGCGCAATGCTCATGGTGACACCAGTGGACGCTCAACCCTTGCAAGTGGTGCAACGTGCGCTGAAGATGTTCGAAGGAGAGGTGCAAACAGCTGGCATTCAGATGGAGTTCGTCCTGACCGACTCATTCACCAAGCTCGGTGTTGATTGGGTGAAGATTGACCCCTCACGAGTGCTTCAGGTACTCATCAATCTTACCACCAACGCGATCAAATTCACAACCACTGAGGAGACCAGAACCATCAAGGTCGTTCTATCAGCATCGCAAGTACGTCCATCGGCAAGCGAACATCCTACCGTTAGCTATTTTCCCATGCGAGCCAAGAGGACCGACCAAACTTTTGGACCTGACTGGGGTGACGGTGAAGAGATCTTCTTGGAATTTGCAGTACGGGATACTGGCCGGGGCCTTACGCCGGAGGAGAAGAAGCTCCTTTTCCAACGCTTTTCTCAGGCAAGTCCACGGACACACGTCCAGTACGGCGGATCTGGCCTCGGCCTGTTCATCTCCCGCGAGTTGACAGAGTTACAAGGTGGAGAGATTGGCGTCTCTTCCGAAGCAGGCAAAGGCAGTACATTCGCGTTTTATGTCAAGTGTCGGAGGAGCAGCGAGCCACAAGAAGCTTTGGAAGTCCTTCCAACTCCATCAATGTCCAGGAAGGTGTCGAATGCGAAGGATAAGGGCAGAAAGGAGCTACCCCTTCCGTCGAAGATCGCAACCAAAATCAAGGACTTTGCTGCTGTGCCTGGCAAGGATAGCGTTGGTCCAAAGGCCAAGCCAAAGAAGAGGGAACTCAAAGTACTAATCGTGGAGGACAATCTTGGTACATGACTAAGGCTTCCCCTGCCAGTTTACTTTTACTAACATACCGCAGTGAACCAAAAAGTCCTTCAGCGCCAGCTCCAAAACCACGGCATCCAAACGACCGTCGCAAACCATGGCGGTGAAGCACTTGAAGCGCTCAAGTCTTCTACTTACTGGGCCTCACCCAATCAATCTCCCCTGGAGGACATATCAGTCGTGCTAATGGACAAAGAGATGCCAGTCATGGACGGTTTACAATGCACCTCGCAAATTCGTGCCCTTGAACAACAGGGCAAGTTCAAGAGGCATGTTCCTATCATCGCGGTTACGGCAAATGCGCGCAGTGAACAGATCGCGACATTGCTCGCTGCAGGCATGGATGATGTTGTCAGCAAGCCGTTCAGAATCGGTGAGCTAATACCTAAGATCGAAGAGCTAGCAAGCAAGTTCGGAAGCAAAAGATTGCCGGACGAAGCTTCACTCAACGTGCCCGCTGGGCCGAGTGAACAGCCCTACGGCGTATGAAAGACATGCGTTACGACTCAGCGTACTTGGATAACAAGAGTATTTTTGGGTATACGTCTACGACGATGGTTACGGTGATGCTCACGCATACAAGAGCTGGGCTCGACGGTGTTACGGAGTCTTCACATGGTGCATTATCCTTAGCATGCATATCGGCATTTGATATGGGTTGTTATTTAATACGGGTTTTGGTCCCTCGGTAATAGTTATGCATATGGAATATACCCCTAGGGAGGTTCAGGCGTTGGTTGAAAAATGGCATATACACGGAAGCACTACGTAGTAAGTGCAATCAAGAACTAAGACTATGTGCGGGCTTTGGTTACTGTGGATGTGAGAGCGCAAAGTGAAAACTCGTGGCCTCATCCTGCAAAGCGCGTCGCTCTCTTCTCATCTCCCACTCATACCCTCATCTGCCTCTTCTCTTAATCTACGCGTCTTACCCCCACAACCTTGTTTAACCTACCCTCCACCCCTTCAACTACTCCTCTTAGATCTTCAATATCTCTTCCTATATCTGATACCATATTCAATATCTCACCCACCTCATGCGCTGTCCGTCTACCCTCCACTCGGCTCAAGTCAGTACTCAAGCTGATCACGTCAGCCTTGCGTCGCACCCAAAGCCAACGACGTTGAAGATCGCAATTAGCGTATTCGAAGCCTAGGCGATTGCTGTTATGTAGATGGCTAGCTGAGGGCGAATCGTCATCTGAGCACGGGTGATACTGCGCTGCATAAGGCGATTTCTCGGATGGGTGAGTTGACGATTGAATTGACCATCGCGCCGGGTCTTGAGATTGATACTCAGGCTTGAGGAACGGATGCTCAAGACCTCGGAACTTTTGAATAAGATCGCGGACGGTGACACGCATCACGCTCAACGCCTCTTCTTCGCCACTGGATCTCATCCTCTGAATGTCGCGGTCAAAATGCATCGTTTCCCTCCTACTACCCCCTCTTCCTCTTCTACTTTTCTTTCGACCTCCGTTCACATGCTTGCCACCACCATATCCACCGTAGTACTCCTCGGAACCACTTCTGGCACCAGGACCATGACTGCGATCTCTCCTCACGTTCTTCAGTCTTCTTCTTACTTTTCTCAAGTGTCTCCTCTCCTCCAGCAGACCTTGTTTCAGGCTCGACAGTGTGTCCTTGATCTCTTCTGGAGCCGCTTGGAAAGTCATGAGATTTGACCAGGAAACTTTTAATAAGGTCGCAAGTGTGAAGGTAAACGAGACAAAGCCGATAATCGTCGATACCATGGATAATGGCGAGAATGCTGTGTGAGATACTGTAACGCCCATTGCGTATAGTTGTGTCGTTCTAGTGACCCGAGGCGCCTACGAACAGTCTAATCGTGTATGAGTAGATTTTGTGACGTATCTGTAGGCAGTTGATAAGCTGGGCCAGTTGGCTCTTACGAGCGTCAAGGGACGTCTGTCACGTTCCGAGTCCGTGGGAATATCGGCAGTATGTGTTGTTTACGTCGGCAAGACGCGGTTCTTGCCCCGAGTTATTTTCAAACGTCATGACTTGATCACTCCCTTAACAACGGTTGCTGGCGCCGATCCAATCGCCCGTAAGCTAGCGTGTTGATCTGCCGGCGTCTTGGTCGGTTTGCCTATTCAGGTACGAAGAAGTCCCTTTTTCTTCTAGTGCACTGAACACCGAAACCAACCGTGACGATTTCGCAGGCACTTATTTTGTGAGCAATACAGTCATATGCGGTAGGTGTACTGAGTGATGCAAATACTCTTTTTACACATGGTAGTGCCTTCGGTTGTCTGCGCGACATGTCACACAAAAAGGGTTGTTGGCTCGCGTTTCGAAGTGTCTAATTTCGCTCTTGCGAGACTATTCTCGAGAGAAAACGCGATCAGGTATCATACACATCTATTTTGACACATGCTTAGAACTTGTAGACCTGGTCCTTGCTGTAACCAAGCTCCTTCAGATAACCGTCAAGCTCGCCCTGGTCGCTGGGGCTCTTCTTGCCGCCACTGATAGCCTTGTACATGCCTGGCGGTCCGCAGACAAACAGCTTGATCTTGTCACCCTCCTTGGGCTCAGGCAAAACAGTCTTCAGGAGCTCCTTGGTCACGTATCCCTTACCGCCTTGCCACGACTCAGGCGGGTTGTCCAAAACGTAGAAAGCGCGGAAGCGCTGGGGGTATGTGTTCTCCAACTCCTCCCACTCGCGCTTCAACAGGATATCCTCTTCTGAGACGTTGCCGTATACGAGCGTAACCTTGGTCTTGTCCTCAGGGTTGCGGAAAATGTGTCGTGCAGTTTGCCACATGGGTGTGATACCGGTGCCACCAGCGATCAAGGCAATGTGCTCGTGCATGTTGGGCTATACACGTGGGATTTTGCGTCAGTTTCTGTCTCACAGTTGAGGCAACTGGGCGGCTCATACCTTCCACTGGAACTTGGGGATGGGACCCTTGATGTCTAGCCGTTGGCCTGGCTCCATGCTGTGCATGTGCTCAGACATAGGACCGTTGGGGTAGGCCTTGATGATGAAGTCGACGGAGCCCTTCTGGTCTACATCGCTGATGGGTGTGTATGGTCGGATGACTGGCTTCTGCATCTCGGGGCCCTTGTACTTGGTAATTACGGCGGCTGTAGGGATTCAGCATGTGGTCTGGTCGATATTCTTGGTTGTTCAACATACAGGCAACGGGCAATCCGCTCTCCATATCCTCCTCGGGCAGCTTGAATCGGAGCTTCTTGGTGTTGTGGTTGACAACCTCGCTGTTCTCCAGCACTAGTGATACGAAGCCCTGGTCGCCTCCAGTGAAGGCCTTCTTGACTGAGCCGTCGGTAGAAGCGGGGATCTTCTTAGCCTCTTCTGAGGGCGGCGCATTGCCTTTCTGCCCCGACGGCGCATCGCCGCCCCTCATGTATAGGTAGGCACCAGCGAGACCAGCAGCGCCGATACCTGTGTAGAGGACACCATTGTTGCCACCGCTCTTGGGCGGCTCGGATGCGTAACGGCGGACTTGCTATCTCTTGTTAGTACTTTACACAGAGACTGGGAAGATTTGTAATGTCGCGTTCGGTGAGAATGTGCGCGCATACCTGGTGCAACGTCCTGGCCGGGCGGAAGATCTGTCTAGCAAACATAGCGAGACGAATTGATGTGATGAAGAGGGGATGGAAGGAGAATTGAGGTGTCTAGAGAAGAATAAGTGTTATCCAGGTGCTAAGGCCGGAGCTCATTGTAAGCTAGCGCCAAGCAGTAAACGTCATCGCGGGCGCTCTTTTGCCGACCAGTCCGAACTCAACACCATCACCACCGTCTATCATCTCGTCGGTTTCGAGCGCATACTCAGCGGCGTTGCGATAAGATACATTTGTTGGGACTCCTACATCAACGTTGTTGAACATCGGGAGCGAACAGCACAGATGATGTCTTTGGCACTTACAACCATAGCGGAGCTCAATGATATGGAACCGAGAGACGGCCCGCACCCGGATCAATCAACAGTATGAGGATTACATCGCTCTGGTACCACGAAATGATACAAACAGAACACGCGCAACACCCATGCGCGCGATATGATGCAGCTATGGTTACTAAAACTTTCACCAAAATCGCGGTCAACATGATGAACATCCTGGCTGAGCGATCCAACGTGCATGACAATTATGCCAAAATGGCTTATGTATGGTTGGGCAGCTTCTATGGTATATGGAGGTGAGATGTTACCACATTATTTTAGACCAGCATGTTTCACCTCCTCAGGAGGTCGAAGTCATCAAGACTTTCAATTACACAGTGCCTACCAAGATCGTTGAAAATGAGCAAGCCGCTTACACCGCATACATGGACCCGCATCAGCCTTCGCTGATTGTTCTGGACCACACAATTCTCGAGCCTAGGGAAACTATTAGGAAGTATCCGTCTAAGCTTATGATATCATAGACGATAGACGCTCATTGGCATAAGTAGGATCGAAGGTCCGAGTGAATGATGAAAAGCTCGGTCCAGCCATGTCGCGTTGACCGTCGTACTCACTTTTGTGGCTCGCTCAGATCTGATGAGACTATTCTTCCTGACTCGTATTTCTACTCACTCCTAACATCGACGCTCCACCATTCTTGATCGAAGTGGCCCTCAGGCATCTCTGGGTGCCTCGTTGCAGACCACTTGTCTTTCACGTACCATCGGATCGTTCGATGATTCCTAGCAAAACGACTTTCTTCCGCTCATAAAACGTGACTCGCAATTGGGACCATAAGGGGAACTGATCGCTTCTCCTGATTGACTGAGTCTACAACTGCTACCACCACGGATGATCTCGACCGCAAAAAAGTCCTACAGCTTGCGGTGTTCGAGATCAGCTACCATGGAGCAAACCATGCCATCATAGCTACACTTGTGTACCCAGCATTACTCCCGACTTGTTGATCTCCGTCTGTGCGGTCTGCTTCACAGAAGCTCGTATTGTTGGAGTGAAAGCCACGCAAGCTGCGTTGTCTCGCCGTGGTGGTATATTCGGTTCTCCTAACGCTAGAGGAGAATGTTGTACGACTGAGAGCAATGCTAAGAAGTGGATAACGCATAGGAGTTGGACTAGTCAGTGGAGGAGGAAAAGACTCAATTGTTGGAAGCTTGAGGCAACACTGGAAAAGTTACAGGACGAACGATGCAATATGGCAGAATAATGGGGTCTAGACGAGGCGCTGTATATCTGGGAGCTTGCAAAAGATGAGTGTAGCCAAGTTCCTGGTTATGGGCATACAGGGGATTTCTTTCCAGCAAAGGTACAAGATACACAAGCCGTCTTGAAGCCAGCACCTACGGAAGAACAATCATCTGGAGTGGATTGGGAGACGGTTAAGTGTAGATGGAAGAAAAGATCTCAGCCACTAAAGAGTTTACTTCAAGATGAGCCCAAACAAGCAGTCTCCAAAGAGACAAACAGCATCATCAATAGACTGAAGCATCTGGGTTGTACTTCGGAGAACCGCTTCAAAGCTCTCATCAAGCATGACACAAACGTAGTAACAAAGCTTGCCGAGCCGATAGAAAGACCACGATATTCTCCCAGTGGCGACGCAATACCCAAAATACCCGACTCTGTTCGACAAACCACTTGGATGGAGCCTCGTTCGGCACCGAAGTGCAACTCGCCTTCTCCTTCCCGCTCACACAAGTCAGTCGCTATCAACGCATAGGCTACAATTCTCCCACTTGATACCACACCGGTTATGACAACGCCACATCACGAATACACAGTTGCAGAGAAGAGCCACAGATGCCTCACTTACAATCGAAACTCACGTTCCTATACACCGTCATGCTGGGCAAGCCCAGAAGGATACAAAAAACATAATACTAGCCATTGCAAGGACACGTGGGCGACTATAAATCAGCTCCAAAAGGGGTTCGCGACATCGAAAAAGGAAGAATAAGAATACTGGGACGAAGGAGGCATGTGTATACGCAGAGAGTGGCCGATAGGCGATATCAGGGGTGTATGAGGATGATCACATATCACGATAAGTGTGAGAGTGTGGATAGAGGATAGGGTGAGCTGGCGTCCAATCATAGTCGTACTACCTTAAAGAGAGAAACTGGATATCTCTTTAGAGCAAAGTACTTGTACCTACTGTAACAAAGTCTGTTAAGACCTTCTTAGACATAGATAGGGAATCTAAAGGTCTATAGTACTATTAACCTTTCTAGAATCTCTTCTTAGAAGCTAACGTAGGCGGTAAACTAGGGCATGTTGTTCCTATACCTGTTTAAGTTTTCTATTGTATACGGTGGTCGCAAACTATAAAGAGGCTTACTGTAAAAAGGTATGATTGTTAATAGTCTCAACAAGCGACTCGCTGTGTACACCAAATTGCCTGTAAAAAGTACCGAAGATCTTGGTCTCAGACAAAACATAGTAGATTACCTTAAGCTGTTGCCGAAGACGGAGGTAGAGAGAAGAAGGAAGCTCGACGACGTTCGGTTACAGATGACCAAAGGGACTGTGCATGCAACAGAAGTACGAAGAAAGAGCACGTGCTAGTGAAGAGTACTACCATAGTAGACATGTTCGCTTCAAACGTGTCACTTCATGCGTGTTTCCCACACATTACGCAGTCTTCTCCGCCATAGCCTCTTTACATATTCCATGTCATTCTCTCCTGTTCATTATTCCAGACTCGCTACTCTGGGGCGACATCTATTGAACTCACTTAAATAGCAGAGTGATTCGAGCAGAGGGTATATGGCGGAGAAGATTTACACCTATTCACATGTCAGCTAGCGTCATTGATAGCTGCCGTGAATAGGAAGACATTT